CAAATTTTTGGTGTAAATCATGGTGCTGGCTACCTGCTGCGGCACTACAAAAAAATCAGAGCTGGGCGAGCAAGGAAATTGAAATGGCTGAAAAAGAAAGGGATTGAGGGCATTCCCAGCGATGGGGTACCTTCGCTGGGCTGTAGAGCTGGGCCTGCTACTCTGATTTCGCTTGGTGATGGCTCATTGTGTTCGCGCTGAGAAGAGCTTGCCGGGAAGCCAACGATTGTGGGAATCAGGCTACTAGAACGTAAGTTATGACCGAAAGCTGACACAATTTGAGCGAAAATTATGGCTATTGCTAAATAGTGGAGTTATGGGGGAGCCAAAGGGTTAAACACCGCTGCATACAGATTCAGTGACAACAGTGAAGTGTATAGGCGTGCGATCCCATCACTTGGCTCATTCACTCCCCTAGGGGCCATCCAGGGGTAGGGGCCGTCCGTAATTGCCGATCTTTTACACGAAACGAAAAAGTTTCGTTCATGGGTGGGTCGAGGAGGGTTTCGTTTTGAAAAAATATTGATGGCATAAATTTACATCACCAATAATCGTGCAACACATACCCGTCAGGCAAGATTCATTAATTTTACCTTCGGAGTCCATCTCCTTCATGGCTGCAATTCCAACGTTCTTGCAGAGAGCGGCAATGACGCTCTTCTCAATTGATGTTGTCAGTTTCTGCAGTAGTAAGATGGTAAGAAATTGCAAACAATTTGAGTTCTGACCATTTTTATAGTAGAACTGTTGGATGGATTTACATAAACTTCAATGCACATGCCAGTGTATCTTCAACCACTCTAAAAGCAAGGCTTGCCACTTTGTGTAAGCAATACTACACATGCATGCACCCACACTGTACCGGTGCATTACGGCAGGTCAAGGAGGTCATGGAATTGAAAGCAGGATAGTCACATGCCTGGGAAATCCTAACATACCAGAGAGAGAGAGAGACAGGGGGGGGGGTGATATACAGAATACACATGCAACAGTGGCAAAATCACATCCTAATCTCCTTCCTAGCACTCTGCATGCTCTGCTCACGCCGCTCTTACCTTGAATTCTGGACTGGACTGAACACTCCTTGACAATAGGGCCTGAACAAATGAGACAGAAAGACACATATAGGGAATCAACAAAGGAAATGTTTTAATGAGGATGAATTCCTTCTGCTTTTATTTTTTATTCAACTGCTAAAGAAATTTCAATTTGAAATGAGTATCGTCTTCACTAGTTTCTTGCTGTGGTTACAATAGAGTCCGGCATTGCAGATACTTCTCAAGAAAGGACACCTCCACATCCAGGACACCTTCTGTTCAGTGACAGTCCCAACTGTACCCAAACAAGTTGTGATGCAGCCTCAGCTTGTATTCAGGGCAATTCCCTATCCAGGACAGATACGCCCAGTCGCAAGGATGTCCGCAATCGAGACATGTTCCCCTGTACTGGTACGCTGTCACACTGAGGACAGGAGTACCATGGCAAACTGTACGGAAAGCAGAGAAGCGTAAGATCGGGCTTGCTGGATGAATGGACTGTGGAAGAGGAACAGCCCGGCTACACTGTCACAGTCTGTGGCTGGATATGCTCAGAGGGGCTGGCAGCACAGTGAGTGCCAGCCTAGATGTGCTCATAAGAATGCCAGCACTGAGTCCCTAGCCAGGGCAACAGCATGAAAATGAGCAACACAACAGCACAGGGACAGGATTTTACACCAAGCGGACCCGGAGACACTCACCTCGACGAGAACTGGCTCGTGTGCTAGATGGCGCAGGAACCATGAGATGTTACAGGCCAAGACGCGCTGCGCAGCCGGCTTGTCCGACAGCACTTGAATGCCGTTGTACACGTCAGAATCGTCCTGCATTAGAATACAAAAAAAAGCAGTGTTTCATAATTTCAGGTTGACCGAAGTCACGGAGTTTTTTTGTTTCCGGAGGAAGTACCTACCCATATACTACACACACACACACACACACACACACACACACACACACACACACACACACACACACACACACACACACACACACACACACACACAGTCACACACAGAGTCACACACACACAGAGTCACACACAGAGTCACACACAGAGTCACACACAGAGTCACACACAGAGTCACACACAGAGTCACACACAGAGTCACACACACACACCCAGACCTGCCCATCGCGGAAGCGATGATAGCGAAAAGCTATGTTAAACATAGCAACTTGTGCTGGGATTACACCACACACACACACACACACACACACACACACACACACACACACACACACACACACACACACACACACACACAGAGTCACACACAGACAGAGTCACACACAGACAGAGTCACACACAGACAAAGTCACACACAGACAGAGTCACATAGTCACTTAGTCTCAGAGTCACAGAGCCACACACACACACACACACACACACACACACACACACACACACACACACACACACACACACACACACACACACACACACCAGAGTACATGGAGCATGACACCAGGGTAGAAAGCTCCGCCCGCAACGTACCTCGGCTACAAAGTGTGATGCGGACACAATTTGCCGCTGTGAGAGACAAACAGGGAAGACAAGTACACCAATAGTATTGGGATATCAGATATTCACAGCCAATGCCAGCGACACTGGAAACTGCTAAAGGTGAAATGCATGTTGTGATGAGGAAGTCCTCCCATGGTCACAGGACGTGTGTGTGTGTGTGTGTGTGTGTGTGTGTGTGTATGTGTGTGTGTGTGTGTGTTTGTGTGTGTGTTTGTGTGTGTGTGTGTGTGTGTGTGTGTGTGTGTGTGTGTGTGTGTGTGAGGTCTCCAGTGTGTAGGCAATACTGAGATTCCACGCTATCAGTCTAACACTCTACAGCACTGTGGCTTTAGTTAACATTCCGCAAGTACACCAGACAATATGGCACAATAGTCACAGTGTGCACGTACACACACACACGCGCGCGTACACACGCACGCGTACACACGCGTACACACCCGCACCACACACACATGCAGGACAGCCAGCGAAAAGTAACGTGACACACCACAGCAGACTTACTGACAGAGGATAGCGGTAGAGAATGAACGATGTATTGTCACCAGGCTTGGTAACGGCCAGCACCTGCATGTGCTCAACAAGCTCACGCAGCTCCTGACGCCGCGTCTCCAGCAGCCGCGGTTCAAGCATATTCTCTTCCTCGGCAAGAGCAATGTCCAGTTTGAGCGGATGCAGCACTTCAATCTCTTCACGTTCTTGTTTCCGGATTACTTCGTCGAGAGCCAGTTCCTTTTCATCTCCCCACACTACCTCCATGAGCTCAATTCTCTTCTTGGCCACCTCCAGCTGTTGCGCATGCTTCTCCCGCAGCGCAGCAGTCTGTCGATCGAGCCCGTCCTTGAAGGACTGGACGTTGTCCTGGCCTTGCGCATTAGCCGCCTCGAGCCTCAAGTCAAAGTAGCTCTCGAGCTGCTGGCGAGCGCTGTGCTTCACATCATCCGAGGAGCTCGTCGCGTCATCTACAAGGATGCGGACAACACGCACAAAACCGAAAAGGTGAAGCTCAAGGGATACATGTACCAGGGTGAAATCCAACTGCAAGAAGAAACAACAATAGCATGCTGCACGGGTCTTGCATTGAAACTACAAGTTGCACTAGAGCTTGATGCAAGTATGACACTCCATCTATAAGCTGAACCAGTTTACTAGTACACACTGACAGAGTCGGCCTACGCGCAATCACAGATTGCTGTTGCTTTCGTGTTCAATAATATTCTTTGTTTCACTTTGACGTTCTAGTCGGTTTACATTAAAGGGGAAATGTCACCAAAAATTTTCTTTGTCTTATCTTGTAGTTCTTTGGCTCCTGATCACGATGGTGTTATCCGTTTTTCTCTGCGATGGCTGGAAGTGGGTGAACTACAAGATAAGACAAAGAAAAATTTTGGTGACAGTTCCCCTTTAAGGTTTATGCGTTTCATTTTCCCGTGAAAGAGGGGTTTATTACCAACAGGCTCAACAAGCGCGTAGTCCTTAGCCTCCCAACAAGCTACTGAACAGAAGCTCAAGTGTTAGTCCATTGCATTACGCAGAAGAAGACTCGAGAACGACACACGCACACACAGGTGCATCACTGCGTGTGCATACAACACACCTTCCTTGATAATCCAGCCTTCCACACGCGCAAGAAGCAAATAGGTGTAGAACTGGCCCAGGACGTCGACGGACGGCTTGAAGTCTGTCTTGCACAGGTATGGCAGCTGATGCATGAGGATCATCTTGCGCAAGTGCTTGTCAAGATCCGAGTCATTCATTATGCCCTAAGCACATCGTTCACATAGTTATACAGATGTGCAACGGGAAGAAGGGTGCACACACACACACACACACACACACACACACACACAAAGAACACATGGCATTTGTACAGCGCAATCCTCTTTGCCTTGGACAGGGTTTCCAAGCAACTACGTCCACAGCATTCAATTCTCACCAGACCAGTTCAAATAGTTCAGCATCGGCAGTGAAAACAGATGCAAGCATGGACTGTGTCATTTCACAACATAAAGACAATTTGCCTGCTCAGCATCTATGCGCAGAATAGTGAAGCAATATGAAACTTGTTTTACTTAAAGCTCGCAGTTGTACTGATGAGGCCTATAGGGATGAAACAGCTTGCTGTCTACAGCATTGTGTATGAAACTTGTTTTATACCAATCACCAGATATGATCACTGATCTCACCTCTTTGTAAGCAAGCAGTGACAGGATTTCCGCCTTGTTCTCAACGAACGGTGGCACTTCAGCTCCGTCGCTAAGGCCCGCTCTGAAGTCGTGGAAGCCGACCAGCGGCCGACCCGACAGTCCATTGTCAACATTGTGCAATAACCTGTGCATGGGACGTGCAAGCAAGCGTATTGAAAGACATCAGCGCACAGTGCAGTCAGTCACCGAGCCCAGCAAGACCGTCAAAGACAGTCCTGGTTCAGAGATACGACGCTGAAACTTGACTACATGTATACAGGTGGAATCCTGATAATTCGAACCTCAAAATGCCAGGAAAAAACTTCTAATTATCCGGACATTCTAATTATCCAAACATGAATCCACAACACAATAATTATGTATGTCAAAATGCTCTCATGGTCACGCAGAGTTGCGCTATGGACCTTAGAAACAGATTTTACGGATACTGAACTGACCGGCACAGCCTGTTCATGCAAACTGAACTGACCAGTACAATGTACAGTGAACTTCGAATTACACTTTGCTAACTTCGAATTATCAGCACAAATCATACACATTTTCTATGTAAGTGGATTCTGTGGGACTTCTAATTAACCGAACATATCCAGTTCGAGGTTCGAATTATCAGATTTTTTTAATGTGGGAATCGTATTGATAGAAATCGGTCCTGGAAAAAATTCTAATTAAGCGGTATGTTCGAATTAAGCCATATTCGAATTATCAGGATTCCACCTGTAGTACTTCAGTACCCTGAATATACCACTAACATACTTTCCTCTTTCAACTCAGATGGACAGCCAATGACGATAGTAATATTCAATAGATGCAAGAGGAAGGACAATTTGCTAAAGGCTAAGACCAATGGTATCTGAAGGTATAGCTTGTGGAAACGAAGTAATTTTTGCACAAAATCTGACAGTGTTTGCTAAGGACAAGAGTGCATAAACAAGAGTACGCAACTGTGGTTATGGGTCCGTGCGCGGAGCGCTGCCTTCATTACGTAACTTGCCTCCATCAAGCTCTGAAAGCATGCACTCAGACCCACAATTTCTCGTACAAGCACATCCGTTTTTGCTCGATTCGTTCCAGTACCTATGCGATCTCTAAATTTTGGCGCGTGAACCCCAGTTCCGTATGAAAGTTCATTTCAAACCAGAGGGAAAGTGTGGCGTTTGATTTTCCGCAGAGCACAGACTGCAGCTGCATGATGTAATGAAGGCAGCGTGCCGCGCATCTGGCCCATAGAAAATAGATCACAGTTGCATACTCTTGTTTATGGACTCTTGCCAACGATTATAATCGAAGTTAACGATTGATTACCATACTTTTTTCTTTGCGTGAGACAGAAAGCACTTTTTCTCAGCACCTTGCACATTCTTTTCCAGTATTTGAACTCGGATATGGTGTACTTGTACATGTACCTCGACTGAGTGAAGAAACAGAGTGGTCTATGATGCGAAAAATCCATATAAACACTGGAAGCGGAATGGCACCAATAACATATAACTTCTGTACCTGAATATCGTGCACCAGCGCTCCACGTCTTCTAGCGGCGGTGCAACGGCTTGCACAAACGGCTTCTCAAAGTCAATTTCTCCACGCAGCTTTGATATCGTCTCCAACGCTCGCGCCACGTACACAGGCGTGGCAAACTCCGCACTCTTCTCGTAGCTGTCGTTACGCACGATGCCCCAATCCTTGGAGATCAGCACACGATTGGCGTACGGAGAGACAAACGTTTCGGCGTAGCTGACGTCACCGCCGAACAGCATGCGACAGAAGTCCTGCACCTCAATCAAATGTAGCCAGTCCTGCACACACGTACGTTGACACCGACATACACACAGCATACTCACATCGAATCAAACAAATACAGGTTGCCAGACTACTATCACACAACCAGCCCAGATCAGTCCAGCAAGCAATGTAAACACTAAGCAGTGATGATACCATTTAGTCAGTGCTTGATGGCCTATGGGAGTGAACTGGAGAGGGGGCATGATCCACACAGCGTAACAAGATATCCCTACAGGACATCAAACAGCTGCTTTCAGCACAGGTACCCGGTATATGCAATCTCACAGGGATGTGCTCAGTGCCTGTGCGACAGGACAGTTACCCACCGACGCCAGCTCAGAAAACGAGAGAACTGCCCGTTTACACGCAGTGCTACACAGTGCTGCACAGTGCAATGTGTGCATGGCGATGCAGCTCTGCGCTGCTGCATGCCTGTTCAACTTACGTCGAGGACATACGGTTCCGACTTTTGCGGCTCCTTCTGCTGCCAGAGGTGTCTGGCCAGGAACTCCTCATCCTTCATTGTGTAGACCACCCAGAGTTTATTCCGCTCGGATACGTACTCTATTGGCAACACGGCCGCCGCAAACGGACACGTCCGCAACACTGCTGTGGCGATGGACTTCACCTTGTCGCCAAAGGACTCCTGGAGAAGCTCGGCCATCTGCACAGTCACAGCAGCAATTAGAGTTACCAACAGTACACAACTTCCCAGATTGTGCAACTGCAATGGGTGGCTACCATGACCCGTCTTCAGAATCGCATCTGTCATCGGTCATCATGTAATCAGCTCTATGCATGCATACGAGACAAGAGCTCGACAGCGCACGGTGCAGTTTCGCATACAGTCAGGTGGACCAAGTCACAAATAAAAGATGTACTTCTGAAAGTGAATCGTGATGGAGGTTTGTATGGAGCAGCACACTCTGGAGAGTTCTGTGCTCTTGGTGGGGCCGTGGGAAGTTTATTTTGAACTTGTTGTCAGCAATGAAAGCAAAACAATATACGCCAGGGCTTCGAGCATTGGCAGGAGAAGCACTGGCAGGAGGGCAGCAGCAGCAGCACTGTGATCTGGTTTCTAGCAAACAGAGAATTAGGCAAGGGAGTCTCAGCACTGTGAGCTGGTTTCCAGGAAAGAGAGAATAAGGTAAGGGCGTGGTCTGTACCTCTTTTCTTGCGGTGACCGGCTTCTCGCCGACATTGTCCAGCGCCCATGGCAGTGTGGTCTTCACACACTCCTTCAAACGCGAGAGGTTCTCATCATTGGATGCCACCAGCGCTACACACGAGTACATACGTGCACAAGAACACACACGATTACAGTCACATCAACAACATGCACAACAACATGCACAACAACATGCACAACAACATGCACAACAACATGCACAACAACATGCACAACAACATGCACAACAACATGCACAACAACATGCACAACAACATGCACAACAACATGCACAACAACATGCACAACAACATGCACAACAACATGCACAACAACATGCACAACAACATGCACAACAACATGCACAACAACAAGGACAAGAGCAAGAACAATAGCAACAACGCGATCACACTTTGCACAGCTGGAGCCTGGGGTTTCTGTGTGCAAAGGACAGTTTTGAACAGGCACGAAGAGAGCTAGCCAAGCTTGCGTATACTTATAGTCACTACAGAGACTACCGCCTATAGCGCTTGGTGTTATGATGCCAGGATTACGACAGGTGAGATACTACTATAAGTGACAATGCAGTGGGGTATCATTCGACTCAGAACCACGAACATGGCCCCATACAACACATCATTGTCCACTGCGAGCGCGCGGAACCCATCACCGAAAGTGTGAACACATTTGCAATGAGCATGTTTTAGCAGCATTCACCAGGTAACACTAGACAGTTTCTTCAGCTAAAATTTAAAAAAATTCACGGTTCGCATGAGACTCGGTTAGACCGAGTTTTCTGCATCCATAGGAACGCCACCACACTCAAGGATCAAGGCGCAGATGCAGCTCCTAAAGCTTAAGCTAGATAATGAGTGTTCAGCACAATATTAAAACCAAAATACTGTGTATGGGAAGAGGTCGTTTCGCTTCTTTATCATATTGCAGCTTCGCTAAAGGCGATAACATTGTAGTACTCTAAGCGATGAAAAGTATTCCGCTGTCCAGAAGCCATGCACAGAGTACTAGAGTTGCACACTCTGGCGCGTACAAACTCTCCTGGCTGGAACAGCGAGCGATTTTCCTCACGCGCGTGCCCGCTGAAAATGCAGATCGCACTGTTCTTGCCTCCCACTGTGGCTCATGTGTGCGTCTATAACGCTGCGCACGACTACTTTTTTTAGGACATGATGCTTGTCACATGACCTCACCTCCGCAGATTGTTCAGTACAGTGTGTACACTTGAAAATTTTTGAAAGAATATTCAGCTTTACTCAGTGTGTATCCATGGCTGTGAATCAAAGCACCAGTGGAATGCAATTAAATTGTATCATTAGGCCATGGTAAAAAATAAAGTTGATTCTCAGGTCATGAGCCTGTGAAAATCGGTGCGAGCAAGCGATTTTTTATTTTATTTGCCCACAATTTTTTTTATTTCCAAAGATAGGGTCACACATATGTACGTCACAGGTTCATATAATCATTTTATTACTCAGGCCAGGGAGTAGGAAAATACCGGTATTTTACTACTCCCGGATTCATGCCTTTCGCATCGACCGTTTTCATGCGCGTATATGCATGCATAGAAATAAAAAACATCGTCGTCGGTGCGCCGCCAAAAATCGGTGCGAGCGTACTTGAGAATCAAAGATAATTTTTACCATAGCCTTATTTGATCCACCTAGGTGCGGCTGGTAGGACTTTTGGTCTTTAACCACTTTCGTGATGGGTTTGATTTGCTCACATTCCACTGCCTAAGGCCCCGGTCACACTACGTCAAAAGTGAGTCAGCGTCTGAATCATGAGTTTTTCCATGGCAACTGACGAAAACGTGGGAAATTTGAGCGCCAGACGCAGTAGCGTCTGCCGCTGCCGCTGCAAGCACTGGAATAAAAAACCAGTGTCTTTCGAAAATAGCGTACCATACTGTAGTCTATCGTAGAAATTTGGTTCGCCACAGAGTGATTTTGTGAAGTGTGTCAGACCGCGACGGCAAAAGCAAATATGCAGTGTGACTCCACGTCAGCGTCAAATGCTTGGGTTTGACGCTGCTGCATCCAGCTTCAAACTTGCCGTAGTGTGACCGAAGCCTTAAGGCCGATTCATACTTCATTTTGCGTACGGGAAAGCCACCGCGCGACGGCTTTCCCGTATGCGAAATAGTTGAGCTCAGATCAACTTTTTCGCGACGGGACGCGTTTCCCGTACGCGAAATGAAGTATGAATCGGCCTTTAGAGGCTGCAGCTGACACCTTTGTGGTGTCCTTGGGGGTTTAGAAAATACCTTCTTACACAAACTGTGAAATTTGCTTTATATATTTTTTATGAATACTAGAGATATGGACACGTCTATTGCAGAATAACGTACAATATCAATTCGCTGTCGTGAAACGAAATTTCAAAAGCACTCCAACAGGTTATGTCACTCATGTGACTGATAATTTCCCCATGCCAGAACTTACGATGTGAGGACGAGGAGAGATAACGGCGATGGTGTGATGCATCTGCGGCAAGAGGGTGCATGCACATATACTTGCATAATTTTAACTTGATAGGCAATTTCGACAAGAAATAGATCTAAACACCTTACATTGCCACACAGTCGATGTGCTCCGACTCCGGAGTAACGCTCGGCAGAAAGCCATGGCTTCTGGAGTAGAAATGTCACACTTCCATCATTAGAGATACTCTCTTCTGTCTGAAACTTTGAAGCTCCTCAACAAATTACCTCCGTCACCTCATCATCTTCAAACCCGCATCAAAATACTCTAGCGCCAGTACTCATGACTGCATTCTTCAAATGCAGCTAGCATGCTTCATGCGCTTGCATGCTGCGCGTACATCTATAGTAGATCGCATTTGCTCAATATCCTCAAAATAGCACCAGTTGAGCCGCCCAAGCCTTGCGCCTTTTTTCGAAATGTAGACTTCAGTCAGATCTCTCCTTTTCTGTTTTTTTATTTCTGCATCATCAAAATAATCAAAATAATCTGCCCCGACATCGGCATGGTGACGTCATGAAGTCCAACAAATTGTCCTGTTTGACCTTTTTTACACCTGTGAAGTAAAAGAAAAAAAGGCCCAACCCTGCCCTGCCAGCTATTTGGGCTTACGGGGGTCGCCATGGCAAATAATAATATTAAAGAACTAAAGACTATAAAATTAATGACGGGAAGTGCCAGCTTCGGCAGCAACTAGGGAGGCAGAAGAAGAGACAGGTGCATGTACAGCGAAAACAGAGCGGCTACCACGCAGGCACATGACACTCGCTCTGAGCAACGCAAAGCTAAGGCGGCAGCGGATGAATGACATAACAACCGAATACGGTTCGCCGCTTTTCTCAGCCATGAGAGATGCAATTCGCTTGTAAAGCGAGGCAGATTGCTTGCCCATGCCACCGGTTGTCGAGAAGACCAACGGGACAAATGAAGCATGCTCGATCTCCCGCAGCCTCTCTTCATACGATCTCTTCTTCGCTTTCTCGTGGCGAACGTAGGTGGCAGAAATGGAGGAGGACTGGTTCGAAGACGCAAAAGGGTTGAACACCCGGACGTCGAAGAAGGTGCGTTCGAACCGCCCTCCCCACACTCCATTTGCTGCTACGTCCAAGCGAGCCTGGTCGTCGCGGATGGCGGTGCGATAGCGCAGCTGCTCCCCACTCAGGGGCTCCAGATGAGGCTCTACAGATACGTTGGTGGCAACACGCTTCAAGAAACCAGCGGTCACATCGCGGATCTCGTTATGCCTGATGGTAGGGTAACCGCCGGTGGGGCACGAGAGGGCATGGGCCACAGTAAACTGGCTTCCACAAACGCACCCTGATGGCATGCGCTGTGGTTGCCAGTTGTACCTTAGGTGCACTCCATCGCGAAACTCCGCTTTGGAGAGGGCAAATCCATGGCACTTCAAGGGCCTGCAGGTCAGCCAACTGGAAGAGCCCTTCTCCGCAGCCAGGTCGATCAGTACACGCTGCTTGGCCTCCGGCACACTGGAGCGGAGCAGCAGGGCTTGGGCTTTGACAGCATTCCGTGCTGTTATCCTCACCTCCGCCTTGGCAGTACGAACGAGACTGGTTGCAGAGCCGAGCGCCATAGTCTGCAGCTTGATGTTGGTCTGCAAGGACTCAGTCACCCTTCGCGATGCATCATACTGGGATGCGAGATCCACGGGATTGCCCAGCCCGAGCCCTCCGTGACGACATGGAAGCGCAAGAATTGACCTTTCCTCCGAGTTGACAATATGGCCGGTAAGAGCGGGGATGAGCCTCTCCATTAGCAGCTTCTCCACAGGCGTCAGAGCAGCTGCAGCTGTTGGTGTGGTGCGGCAGAGGAAAGACCACTTATTCTGCAGGCCTTGGGTGAGTGCAGCGTATGCAGCTTGTGGTTGCGTTTCCGCATACGAGGACAACTTCTCCACGAGGTTGAGCCATCTTGTTGCCTTCTGCTCAACAAAGCTATCCAGGAACGCAGGCGTACCAATAGCCGAACCCAGGTACCGGCAACCATCGACGCGGATGTCAACTCCAGTGTCGGCGAACATCTCCACTGCTCGATCATAATGCTTCGGTTTAACCAGGAGAACCGACTTGGACGGGTTGAGATGATAGCCGTAGGCAGGACCTTGCTCTGTTAGGCTATGCCACCATGCACGCAAAGGCATCAGCTTGCCACCTGCTCCTGAGTCATCAGCAAACCAGGCTTGCACAGTATTTGCAGTAGAGACTGACTGCAGCAAAGGAAGAACACCGAGAGCATAGAGAGGCATTGCAATCGGGTCCCCCTGCGTGGTACCTTCGGAAGAGAGGATGACTTCTCCACCGACAAAGAGCTGTGCGGGTTGCCTGTAAGTGTTGATGACAACTGGTGACATGGCTGGACAAAGATGCTGGATGTTCTGCAGATATACAGCACGATTCAAGCAATTGAACGCGTTTGAGGCGTCTGCTAGAAGGAGGCCTTCCGTTTCGTCATCTGCGAAAACTTCTCTCATGGCATGAATAGCGGCTTCTACTCCACACTCGTGACCGGCACAAAGCTGTAGGCTGCCGGCTGCTTCCAGGATGTCGTCTCGCAGAAGGCTGAGGATGGCTTTGCCCACAATCCGCCTTAAAACCTCCCCTATGCCGATGGGCCTGACTCCCGGTTTTTTGTCCAATGGGATTAGGCGACATGACGTGTAGGCTTGCAGTGACCAGGGGTCTGCCATGGATGTCGCCAAGCGCCTTGCACATGAGGCCACCGCATCACAAAGGTCGTCTGACGCAACACCAAATCCGGTGCACATTCGTCTCCATGTGTCGGCATCCACTCCAGAGGGGCCTGCTGCGCCATGGGTGCTGAGTGCAGCCCGGCGAACAACATCTCGAGTGAGTGCTTCGAACCGTACGGGGTGTGGTGGTGCTGGAGGTGTGCCGGGAAGCACGGCGGCCGGTTGGGTTGGTTCGGCAAGGGGGTGCTTTTCCACTAGGATATCTCTGACTGGCCTGTCGCCAATCCTGTCATCCAGGTCAAGTATGCCTCCCGAGGTGTCATCATCCAGATATTGCAGTGCTGCACCCAGTTTGCCGTCGGTCACAAGCGAAGCAAACCGTCTGGCATTATCGGTGGTGATCCTGTCCCGTTGCGCCTGTTGCTTTTCCAGCTGGTTATGTATGGTGCGACATTCATGCAGGAGGTCTGAAAGCGCCCCTGCTCTCCACAGCTCCAGACGACGCTTCAGACACTTGGCATGCGAGGAGGTGGCGGCTTGAAACGGCTTCTGGAGGAGTAGCAGCTGGAACACCATGGCAACTTTCAGAGCCTGGCCTTCAAAGGGACCGGCATTGCCAAATACCAGCAGATACTGGCTGAGCTGGTTCACAAAATCTTTGCCCACACCGCCACTGGGGACATCGAAGGCATTCGGCCGAAAATGCACAGCTTCGTCGTATGTTCTGTTGATGGCATTGGCACATTCTTCTGCAGTCATGGTGCCCAGAACAAAGTTGATCCGTGCTGTCTCGGTGTACACAGGCAAGTCAAATGTCGCAGGCCTCCCTGGTTGTGGGCAGTCGGGTTCATGTGGGCCTGGTACTGGTAGGTCATCCTGACTTTGATCGAGGTATGCCAGCAGCTGACTAGACGTTGACCTACCAATGGTACTGGACGGTGGCATGTCAGTTGCGGTGCGTGTAGACGGACTGGTTGAGCCCGGAACCTGCGCGTTCCCAATGAGTTGCTGGTCCAGAACGTCCCACGCCAACTGCTGAGACTCCGACACAGAATCGTTGGCGTTGTCGACTGTGATACCGGTAGTTCTACAGGCTGTGTCCTCTGTGGGCGAGCATTCTGAAGCAAGCACGTGCCGAACGGTTTGAACCTCTACGGGATGTGCAGTTGTACCGGTCCTGGTGACCGTTGGCGAATTTCGACACCTTTCCTTCCTCCCCGGCGTGCAGTTTTCACAAGCTCTGCTGGATCGGCATTTACAATTGGCTCCACACTTGGAGTTGCCACTACACTGGCAACACTGGCTCCCACCAGTTGCGGAGCTGCTCCCTTGGAGCATAGTGATGCGAAAGTCCGAACGTCTACCGTGCAAACATAGTCGCAAGACGGGTTCAGGAAGGAGCGAAAAAAACGCGAACTGTACCCTACAAGTACCAGCTAGAAACCCAATGTGACGTCATGAAGTCGGTGCAGCGCGCAGCGTCATTAATGTGCTTTGTTTGTTTTTTGAAGTGTTTCTGTCCTGGAATAGAAAGGCAGTTTCTTGTTCAAGTAATAGTAGTGTTGCTGAGATGGTGTTGGAACAATTACCTACTCATGCATGTACCTGAGTCCACTATAGTTAAATTTGTTGTGCGTAGCAATCAGAGTGTAAGAGGTATCGTTTGTCCTCTGGGTACCTCTCATTCTGTTTTGGAGGTATTTACGACGAATAACATTACCGTTGCATGAATTTATGTGAACAATTTACTATCAGCGGCGCTTGGAGACTCGTTTGATTTACGAGGCATGTCGGGGACATATTACTTTGCAATTGTGTCCCCGAACGACACGCCGACGTTCGAGGCGGAGTTCAACAAAGAGCAGAGCAAATTTGGCAGTGCTGATAAACCTGACATCAAAAAGGACGAGTATTCTCACTTGCACCAATTCATAGCCCATGCTGCTCTAGATATGCTTGATGATGTCATGTGGACGACACCCAGCATGTACCTGAAATCAATAGACAAGTTCAATGAGTGGTCAGTGTCGGCCTTCATCACTGCATCAGGCATGCGCTTCATCATGCTGCATGATCTAAAGACGAATGAAGAAGGCATCAGGAATTTCTTCCAGGACGTGCACGATATCTATATCAAAGCCTCTATGAACACGTTCTTTGACCGCATGGAGCAAATCAAGATGCCATCGTTTAATCGCAAGGTCCAGCAGCTGGGCAAGAAGCACCTGGTGTCCTGAGCCACTGCTATAGCCGTAGTTGTTGTTGTTACCTTCCTCCCTTCAGATGGTGCTGGCCGCCAATACAATCATGAATACTCGCTATACAAAGTACTCCTTAGAATATACAGAGACTGAACATGCCAGTAGGTTTTTTTTTCGCTGCCAATGTGGATCATAGCCTATGCAGATAATAGATACTTTGTTTCAATATTGGTTGTTGTTCTTTTTTATTATTAACTGATCTCACAAGCCATATCCCAGCCACAGCCCATTTTAGCCCATTTTCAAATAAAGCAATGCTAGTGGTGTCCTCTTGAGTTGCAACGTCATTTCCTTGTTATTGTTTCGTGGACGTGGCTCATGCTTGAATGCGGCAGTTTGGTATGGCGAACATGTACTGCGTTTATAAATGATTGAAGTCACAATTGAAATCTGATCTCGTGAATGAAGCAGAGCCCTATTCACCGCACAGCTCAGTTTTCGGTATTGCTTGGGCTGTGCAGCTCTTGGGCTTGAAGCAAAAAGTTGCCATTGCCACACAGAGTTGTGACACACACTATAGAAACCGACTTCAGAACTGGCCAGTGCAAGTTCCTCATGCCCACTGGACCAGTACACTGTGCAGGGAACTTCAGATTGCCTTGCTAACTAATGTTACTTCAAATTATCTGCAGAAAGAGTTCCACACTTTTTCAGCGGATGCCATGGGACTTCTAATCAGGTATACAGTTATGTACATGCCCAGTTCGAGGTTTGAATCAGAGAGTCGACAATAATAATAACATCTGTTCGAATCATCAGGCATTGTCACGTGGGAATCGTAACACTATGCCTATGGACTGCTAACAGCAGGGAGTAGTAAAATGCCATATTTACTACAGTACTCCCTGCTATTACACCTTGAATCTCTTTTCACAGCTGCAGATGTGTCCCGTACGTGGGTGTGGTATGGCATTACAATTACATAATCATGATACCGTATTTTCTCTATTAAATAAAGGCACTTCTCCAATAAAAGGCACAAAGTCATGCAATTTAATTTCCAGTATGGATACTGAAATTTATCAGAAATATGAAGAAAGTGATCACTAAAAAAAGACAGAAACACAGCATGCTAGCAAGGGGGGCTTGAAATTATAAAAGCACGGGTCGGGTCGGAGGGTGGTTGAAAAAATAAAAGATGCATGCTTTTAGTAGAGAAAATACGGTAAGCGTCTACAGCATCTAGGACAGAAGAGCTGCGCCTTTTAAATTGTTCACAACATTGTAGTATACTACCGGTAGTAGCTGTCCGCTTGGCCGAGCCTTCTCTGTGTCACGGATGACAGAACTCAACACTGCAGACACAGTCATACTATTAAGTATTATGTCAGCATGTTCTACCAACAGCTTCTTACTCATAGTGATGTTGGTGAATGTACAAAATACTATACCGGTATATACTAAAGTACATTAGCAAGAAGTTTCAAAATTCTAAAAAGGAAAGAAAATGGAAAAAATAAATGTACGAAATAAATTCCAGCGGTCAGTTTCTTTGTTTTGGTATGTGTTCTTTTTCATTACAACAGATTTCATCAAACCTTCTTCAAGAGCAATACACACAAAAAAGGGATTGGAACTAGTGTTAGTAGAAAAGGAAGGTGTGAATACAGTAGCACTGGCATGTCAGACACCCGACCTTAGTTCTGGATCACAAGAAGAAAAACACTATTCACAACACGTTTGTCCTGCAGTTGTGTGAACAAGGCACTCCGAGGCTGCCAACAGAAACTATGCGCATACAATAAATGAAAACTCCTTTTGCAGGCTGTCTCACCTGCAATTTTCGTAATGGGTTAATGAGACAGAAACACAGGATGAGAGAGAGAGAGAGAGAGAGAGAGAGAGAGAGAGAGAGAGAGAGAGAGAGAGAGAGAGAGAGAGAGAGAGAGAGAGAGAGAGAGAGAGAGAGAGAGAGAGAGGTGGGAGCTGACCAGAGTGGTGACGATGTGGCTTGGAATCGAAAATTCATGAAAGCAATTCGGGGACAGACATGAACGTGATCCGTTTAGGCAAGGTGCTTCTCAAAGAACTGGAGAAAGTGCTGGGCGTAGGCCTTTGGATTTGCCGGCATAACCTCGTCGGCGCGGAGTTTGACTGTCTTGGCAGTGTGGGCAGCCATTTTGCGTGGCCCATAGTGTGCAAGCACATCAATTAAGCCAAGGTAGTAAACCTTGTTAGAACTGGATAAATCTATTGAAATTCGCTCCTTGCATGGGTTGCTGCTGCTGCTGCTGCCAGTTGACAACAAGCCTGCCAATATTTCGTCTGCGGAACACCTCCTCGAGTGGGGCCGACTGTATGTAATATTTGGTGAGTGGTGACTAGAACGACTATCAGAGCTTGAGCCATAGTCACGTGGTGCTGAGAGTGTGGCCTTAAGGGGTTGCCGCGCACCCGTGCGATGGGACTGGCTCGGTGCTGTTGCTGGCCGTGATCGCTCGGATGCTTCAAGCAACCCGTCGTCCTTGTCCGACGCTATGGGTGACGTACGCTGGTTCGGAGCCGATGCAGTGTTGTTGACTGCGCCAGATACAGTGAGCTGTGTGTCAGGCTTGTCCACAACAAAAGTATCGTCCTCTTCTTCAGTCAGTGTCCCTGGGACGGGGGACCGTGAATCGTGTACGCCGTCGCAGGCTGCAAATGCATAGTGATCAATGTCTCGCCTCACCACCGGGTAATGGTCGGAACTGGTGGCGCGACGCGCCTCTGCAGAGTCCGCCACCACAATAGGCCTTGGCTCGCGTAGAACGCGCCGCAGCACGGACAGAGCCGACATTTCGCCGGCAAGAGCCGCCGCCTCGTCCGCAGAGCAGTCTTCCTGCGCCGACTCGTCGCCTGTGCCCGTCCCGGACGCTTCCTCATCGTCCTCGTCTCTGTACTGGAATACCGCCTGGCGCTGCCGACAGTCAGCATCATGGATTCCCACAAGAAGGCTGTAATCCATCAGCTTGAGGCTGGCCAGAAAGTCAGTGTCGGCCTCGAGCAGTTTCAAAATAGCTTCCTTATTCTTGGCGCCCACCTGAAGCTTCGCACCATCTAGAAGGAAATCACTGTCCTTCAGTGTCGGCAGATCCTTGGCTCTTTCCTTGCTGGATGCCGATCGAGAGTATGCACAACCCTTCAGGTCATACTTGCGGTGAATGGGTAGTGTGGAGCTGAAGATGTTGCGCATGACCAGAATATACGACTCGGCTGTGCCGACCGTGAGACGATACATCCCCAGGTACTGTGGCAGCAGCGTGTTGCCCTCGCTCTCCACCACGTACTGGTGATACTGCATGATGATGTGATGAAACAAGGCAACCACTTCGTCACCCTGGACTGTTTTGATGACAAAGCGACCATCATGGCTGACATAGTCGCTTGCTCCCCCATTATCCATGGGACGTGGCTCCAACTGAGTGAGCGAGTTCATAAAAGTCGTCTCGCTTACTCCGAAGCGCTTCCTGAGATCGTGAAAAACCAGCGGACAGTAGGACTTGAATTTAAACTTGCCAGGGAAGATGTCCTCGTTGAAGAGGTGATTCTCGACTTTGATCTTACTGCATGCCCGGAAATCGTCGGGTAGTAAGACAGCCGGAATGTTGACATGATTTAATGCAGCCGTAGAATGATTGATGCCCCACATGAACACACTAAGCAGGGGCTCGCTGGCACGGAAGACCCTCTTCTTCTGGTGCACGAAGTGAGACTTACCAGCCTTCTTCTTCTTCTTATTTCCGCCGGGAGCCATAGCTCGCGATCTCCACGGCGATGGCCGCAAGCAAGACTGATTCCCTTCTCATGAAAGGGCGGTCATCACACTCTACTCTAACCACCACCTCGGTAGATCTACCTTGCAAACGTACTTACTTCCGACCCCTGTGAGACTGTGTTTGCAGTTTGTGGTCAGTGGAAACGCAGACCGTGACTGAAGAGGAAGCAGGAAAGTATTCAACAAGATGCAGTGCATCCAGAGAAGTAACACGTCTTTAGTTTTTTGAATTATTTCGCACGCGCGCGGATTACGAAAAGAGTACGTGTGCACGTGTATGTGTGTACGCGTATGGGGGGGGGGGGGGTATGGGGAGCTCAAACTAAAAAGAGTGCATGCAGCGCAAATCGTTGACAAGGAAACCAAAATGTCAGGCCAAATAATGGAAAAAAGGTTCGAAAATTACACAAAATTAATATTTTTCTGAAGATCCAGAAGCTAGCTCCGGGGGGCAGCTCCGAAGATTGATTCACTTCTACATTTTTTGTAGTAATTCTCCTTGCTTTGCTGTTGTTTTAGTGCTATCATTATCAAGTTCCTCTTTGAGACTCGACATCTGGAATGAGAGTAAACGCAGGGTTCTGATCTGAAGCGGCTTTGGAAGGAGCCACCATAAGTTTGAGTGTAACGATCTCTTTTGTGCAAGGGCTTCAAGATGAAGGTGAAAATGCTGAGTAGGAATCCGCACGATTATATTCGTGAGCGTAAGCAGGATCTTCATCATGTACCAAGGAACCCAGATCCTGCTCTGCATCCGTTCGAAGAAGCTAGGGAATATACGCGTGCTCTGAATGCTACGAAGCTGGAGCGAGTATTTGCCAAGCCTTTTGTTGGTGACTTGCAAGGCCATACGGACGGTGTAAGTTGTTTTGCCAAGCATCCCATGCGCTTGAGCTGTTTAGTATCTGGAGCCTGTGATGGAGAGATCCGCGTGTGGGACCTGTCAACGCGACAGTGTACAACGGCGTTTGGGGCGCATTCTGGCTTTGTTCGCGGAATGTGTGTAGCACCGTCCGGTGAAAGCCTGTTGTCAGTGGGTGATGACAAAATCATAAAACGCTGGTCTCTCGCAGCTACCACACAGAGTCATGGTGAGACTACTAGTATGGAGCCAACACATACTATTCTTGGTAAAGCCCCGTTCACGTCCATATCACACCACTATCAGCAGCCGTTTTTCGCCACATCTGGTAACCAGGTGGACATCTGGGACGAGGAGCGGTCTGAACCGGTCCGGTCATTCACCTGGGGGTGCGACACGGTAGCGAATGTGCGCTTCAGCCCGGTGGAAGTCGACATCTGCGCAAGTTGTGGATCAGACCGTAGCATCGTGCTGTACGACGCACGCGGATCCACTCCGCTGCGAAAGGTCGTACTGGCAATGAAGAGCAACTGCATTGCATGGAACCCAAGAGAAGCATTCAACTTCACTGCCGCCAATGAAGATGGCAACCTATACACGTTTGATATGCGGAAACTTGACTTTCCATTGAATGTTCACACGGATCATGTCTCAGCAGTGATGGACATAGACTACTCCAGGACGGGGAGAGAATTTGTTTCGGCCAGCTATGACAAGACCATCCGTATATATTCGATACAGGGCGGCCACAGTCGGGAAGTCTACCACACCAAGCGCATGCAGCGTGTCTTCACCGTGTGCTGGTCATCTGACGGGAAGTTCATTGCATCCGGCAGTGACGAAATGAACGTCCGGCTGTGGAAGGCGAAAGCATGGGAAAAACTCGGACCAGTGGCAGCAAGGCAGCGGGCAGCTCTGGTGGAAAGCGAGAAGCTGAAGGCGAAGTATAGCAGTCATCCGCAGATCAAGCGGATACAGCGTCATCGCCACGTTCCTCGCCTTATATACTCTGAGTCTAAGAAGAAGAAGGAAATGCTGAGCAAGATGAAGCGAAAGGATGAGAACGTCCGTCGTCATACCAAGGCTTCTAAGCGCAGGCCTCGCCAGCCGGAGCGAAAGAAGCACACTGTAGGTACAGTTGAGTAACGTCTGAGAAGCAGTCTCGACTGAAGGATTGGCTACTTGGAGATCACTGTCAGGCAGTTAACTTTAGATAATATGTGTGCGTGCGTGTGCGTGCGTGTGTGCATGATGTGTCTGTGTGTGTGCATGTGTGTACTGTGAGAAGTGGACCGGTTTCCGCACCTTGCGTTGGTGCTTTTGCTCCAGCTTGCATGTTCCCGTGCAAACAGGTCTGGCATTCTTTTTTTTTTCCAGTGCTGATCTTCCTAAAGTACAAGTACTACTGTAGTACAGAATTGTGTGTCAGTTACTTGCTGGTGCTACTCCTGTGATGTCTGCGGTTATCCAGCAGAACATTGCATTGTACTGTCCCTGTGACTTGGTCAGTGACGAGGTTGAATATAATGGTGTGCTTGGCATGTTGCTGCGAGCGATTTTCCTGCTTGGCCTTCGTTACTTCCATATTCAACTTATTTGTGTATAATACAGAGGTTAAGATGCACACTAGTTCCGACGTGACGCGCAATTTCACGTCAAATAACGCGAGCTGAACTTTCGCGTCACGTCATAAATAACTTTTAGAAAATGTAAAGGACCAAGGAACTACAAGTTACGCTATAATGTCCACTAACACCGCCAGTTACTAAACAATCAGCTCCTGCGATAACATTGCACGACACTGACCGACGGTACTGACGTTCTACAACTAACTGGCCTAACTTGTAGTTCCTTGGTCCTTTCTATTTTCTATATGAATCCTTGGCTCTCCATCCGAGTCATAAATAACGTGCATCTTAACTTCTCTAATAATATAGTTTTGGGCTGGCACTGCACCTTCTCTATCGCTGTCGGTATGCTTTGATGGTGTTCATAGTTAGGCATGTAGCCCATGTTGGGCACAGAGGACATGTGCATGTTTGAGCCAAATGGCTTGGGGATCGCACTTTATGCAGTGCCGGCTGTGAAGCCAGAATCTAGTGCCAGTGTACAAAATCCACTTGTACCAAGAGTAAATACGCCTATATTACACTCTTGCTTGTGCTTGTACACTTCAATTTTAATTACACGACATACTGCTCGAACATTTGGACCAGCTATGCCACTAATGGTATACCATACCAAGCCAGGAGAGGTAGTTAGATCTGTACAGTCTGGGGAACATGCATACCGATTGCTCTCTACATCGTTCTGCCTCAGTCTCCCTGGTCTACAAACAGCTTTCATGCATGTAAAGCAGGGAGTCGTTTGATATGAAGACCGAGTGGCAAGACAGTTACGTAGATCAGGGAGTCGTATTTGCAATTTGACGACTCCCTGATCTACGTGTACCGTATAAGTCATTGTATTACTAGTATCTGATTTACATGTACAGTGGAGATTGGATATAATGACCTTGGGTATAACGACAAATCGAGTTTAGCGACACAATTCTGTTGCCCAAGTCGTTTAGCAAGTCCTTTCTGTACATTATAGATCGGGTATAACGACCTCGAAAATAACGACAGATCGAATTTACTGACACTTTTTTAGTGCCCGAAGACCTGAAAAGCAGTGAAAATACATCGGATATAACGACTTTCCTCTGGCATGTCTGGAACATGGTATATGGCTGTGCCACGTGCCCGGACCACCGGGTCACTCATGATGAATTTATTGTGTGCTTTACATTGGTCGTTGTCGCTCCAGTGCAGCGGTGCGGGATGACTTTACCTTGAGCAATGTATGCAAGACACAATGTCATGTATATCTGCAAAGTTCTGTCATTTTGATATACATATTGCATACTAAAATGTGAAGATCGGGTTTACAGTCCATTCATCGGAAACTGGCCCGCTGGCTTTTGGAAATCGGATTTGGGCCGAATTGAGGATCAAAAGCCCACTTTAAATCTCAAAAATCTGGGTTTTGGATCTGCTTCTCCATACACTTTGCCATGGCATACCTGTCCTAATTTTGTAAAACCTGGCTGAATTTCTATTTCCCTGTTCTTGGACTTTTCTGCCCTCAAATGTGGCAAGGAGTAATTGCACGGGTCACACAATGCAGGATGTACTGTTGTTTTCACGATATCTACAACTATGTGAGAGAGACACCAAAAAGTTAGGGTGCCAGTTTCCAATGAATGGACTGTAGTGACTGACAGATCGTATATAGCGACATTTTGCTTTCTCCCGAAGGAGTGTCGATAACCAATCTCCACTGTATAATACCAAGAGTGCATATGGACTCTTGATAATATTACTACTGTAGTAATAGATCTACTGAAACTAGAAAAATGGTGCACTACTGTAAGACATGTATATATAACGAGGAAGCAAATCTAACGTTTTAACGGATGACATTTCTTCGTTATAATAAGATCCGTTGAGGCCGTACTGCTTCATATATGCTGTGTGTGGATATGGCAGAATACTGCAAGATCGTTAACATAATTATCTTCTCGTTAACCTATGAATTTTGGACAATCGTTAAATTTGCGACTCGTTATAATAACATGTCTTATAATAATAGCTTACAGTATACAAGAGTGCATATTCAACAAAAAAAAAACTGTTTATTTATAATATTATGGACTCTTAAGATCTTGCAATGCATGCAAGACTCTTCTGAGCGTCACCTAGGGAACAAAAATGGCGTCCGAAAAGCGAAAATCAACGACGAAAATCAAAAAAATACTTCAAAAAAAAGATCAGTACAATGATTTTTACGTTCCTGCGCTGCATCAAACGAGAAAGAATCGACCGAGGGCATGATAATTGTTTGGCCTGGCTTTAGCTCTCGTCTATCTATCCACTTTAGTCTTGGTATTGCAATGCCGTGTTAGTAAACTACGATGGATCCTTCAATTTTGAGAACTAGCTACGACGTACAAAGGAAGATCGGAGCGTTCTATACTGGTGGTAGAGTAGCAGTTTCTCGTGACGAGAAATATCTCTATTGTTCGTGCGGAACAGCAGTGAATGTCGTCGAGATCGACACTGGAAATACGACCTGTACTTTTGAGGCAGATGACGAGGATCCTTTGACGACTTTTGCCGTGAGTCCGGACAATAGCCTGCTGGTAACATGCGGCCAAAGCATGTTGCTCCGATTGTGGAGCTTGTCAACTCTCACTTCAAGCAGTACTAGTCTTGCATCATGGCGCATACCAGGCGGAGCGCCCGTCTGCGTCGGTGCATTCGACTCCACATCTAGTTCCGTGGCGTTGGGTACGACCAGAGGCACTGTGCAGGTTTGGGATGCTGTGAAGCGCTATTGCACGCACAACTTCAAGGGCGTACCAGGCCTCGTTGGTGCCGTCGCCTTCCACCCAGCCGGATCGCAACTGTACTCATCGGGTGCCGACGGCATAATCAATGTGTGGGACCTGGCAAAGTCACAGCGTGTGATGCAGCTCAAAGGACACATGAGCGCTGTTCCTGTGTTGCGCTTTGTTGATGGCGAGGGAAAGTTACTTATCAGTGGCGGTCGCGACCAGATTGTCCATGTGTGGGAGTGTGTCACGGGACGCTCCAGGAAAACAATTCCTGTGTTTGAGTTCTTGGATGATCTGATACCTCTACGGGGAGACTCAATATTTCCCGGCTGTAAGTCCACGGAGAGGAAACAGTCTGAGGCATGCTTTTTCACTGCCGGTTCGAAGGGAATCCTACGTGTCTGGACGATCAGCGGAAAGTGCGTTTATGACTCTAGCAAGGCCGATGCTGCAGAAGCAAATGCAGCTGCTACTCCTACTGACCATCACCTTTTGCAGGTATGTGCCATGGCCTCCGTTGTGGTTTGCTGTGGACAGCCAGGTACCATTGTCGCGTACATACATGTGCATGACCATAGTTATATTTTGCGCATAGGGGTACCTTCCCCATAAAGGGGCCTAAAGGGCACTGTCTTATATTGAAGGTATGAGCTGGGTTGGCTTCAATGAAAGAGTATTGCTCTTAGCCAGTGCATTAGACGTGACAGTGACAGTGATAGTGTTGGCAGCATGCCACTACTGTCATTCGCAATTGTGGTACGTTATTCCCTTACTCTGTGTACACAGGGCACTTCTTGACGTTCAGGGGGTGCAGTCTTATAACTGGACATTTTCGCTATTTGGAAAAGGGCAAAAACCCATTTCTTCATGTCTACAGTCATACCAAGAGTCCATAACCCCCAGAGTGTGCAACGCCACATAAATGTCTGTCACGACTCGTTTTCAACATTACGTCATTTTCATGTAGCTGCGCGTGCAGGCCGCGACATTCGCTACATGAATGTTGAAAACGAGCCGTGACAGGACCCTATCGCGCGTTGCACACTCTTGCTTATGGACTCTTGGTCATACTAGTACCCGTGTGTGTGGATATCTATGGTGTGAATGTGCAATAATAGAACGTATCGCCCAAGTCGCACCAACCTCTTCTTCAAATAAAATACCATGTTGGAAATTTTTGATTGGCTTCCTTCTACTCAGCCCTGGATAGTCTCGGTTAGAAGTGGCAGATTAGCGAACTTCCATGTAGCCTCTTCTCCATGAGTACTAAGGGTGTGTGCATGTGTGCAAATGATCCAGTATCACTAGCTAGTCAGTGTACAGCTACCGTTATCCTGAGTCTATCTATAATGCAGGGCAAACTTCTGTTGCTTAGGTACTTGTTGTGCACATCTTTGCGTTTGCGTGCAGGTGTTCATCTGTGCCGAGCGTCAACAAGTGGCAAGTGTTACCTTTGACCACACAATTACTTTCCACAGGCTCACGGAGCGAGACTTGCCTGTCCACAAGCACATGTCCGGATTCAATGAGGAGATTCTAGCTGTGAAGACCATCGGTGACTCCGACCAAGTTGCCATAGCAACAAACAGTGACACACTACGCGTGGTCGACTTGACGACACAGGACGTACAGATCTTACACGGGCACAGCGATGGGCTCATGGCAGTGGACGCGTGTGCCGACGGCTCGTGGCTAGCAACGTGCTCCAAGGACCAAACGGTCCGCGTGTGGACCCGCTCATCCGGCGAGTCGACCCGTTTTGAATGTGTCGGCGTCGGCCGTGGCCACACAGCGGCCGTCGGATCTGTAGTGTGCAGTCTTCCTGAAGCCACGGCCCCGTTCCTGGTGTCCGCCGCTCGTGATTGCACGCTGAAGGTATGGGAAGTGCAGCATGCCGTGTACGCAGGTGGCCGGGCGCATGATCAAAGGATCCCTTCGCTAGATGTACGGTTTACACAACAAGCGCATGCCAAGGATGTAAACGCTCTGGCCATTTCGCCAAAGAACCAACTAATCGCTACAGCCGGTGCTGACAAGATTGCAAAGGTGTGGAGTGCCAGCGACGGAACACTTCAGGGTGTGTTGCGTGGTCATCGGCGTGGTGTGTGGAGTGTGGCTTTCTCTCCGTTGGATAGGGCTGTTGCCACTGCGTCGGCTGATGCCTCAGTCCGTCTTTGGTCTCTTCAACACATGACTTGCATGCGTACGTTTGAAGGCCATGCAAACTCCGCGCTGAACGTCATCTTCATGTCGCGCGGTACTCAGCTGTGCTCGGCTGGCGGCGATGGCTTTCTCAAGGTCTGGAACGTGCACACCGGTGACTTGGCATGTTCTTTGGACGGTCATGATGACCGAGTGTGGGCGGTGTGTGCCAGCAACGATGGCGAGTCACTCGTGTCCGGTGGCAGTGACTCAACGCTCGTCGTGTGGCGCAACACCACGCAGGAAGTGGCACAGCGTAACAAGGACAAGGAGGCTGAGCAAGTTCTGGCGCAGCAGGAGCTCAACAATCTCCTTGCTAATAAGCTCTACACTAAGGCGGTGCAGCTGGCACTGCGCCTGGATCAGCCATTTCGTCTGCTCGGCGTGGTCAAAAGCATCCTGGAACTGCCCGAGGATGTTGACAGCGCTGCCCAGCTTGACATTGCGCTGGCCAATCTGCGCGAAGACCAGCTTGTGACGTTGCTCCGCTACGTCGCCACGTGGAACACGAACGCGCATCACAGCCGCGCCGCGCAGGCCGTCCTGCAAAGCGTGTTCCGGCGCTACCACCCGCGCCACCTGTGCGACATCAGCGATGTCGGCAAGAGCGTCGAGCCGCTCGTGTCCTACACTGAGCGACATTCAGCGCGCGTGTCGCACCTGCTCAAGCAGGCAGCATTCTTGGACTTTACATGGGAATCCATGCGGCAGTGAGACCATTGTCAGTTTCAATGCCACTTTTCTGTACATATGTGTATATAACTGTGTTTAGATGTGCGATGGTTTGATAATTATAATTTGGCAGTGTTTTAACTTATACACTGTACTGGAACTAAGTGAACATGCAGGCCTGTCTTGTGAAATGTGTGCTGCGGGGATGGTAGGAGTAGAGTTTACTGTGTGTGCTCCGCTGAAGACAGAATGTGTGTGGCAAACTTCGGTTGATATTCACAGTGCTCCAACTTAGAAGTCGACTAACTTCGGTCGGTATTCACGGTGCTCCAACCTATATCATCGCGAACAGCCACTCAGTACTGGGCTTGGAAGGACATGCAGAGTCGAGAACTTCAACACAGGTAACCGTGGTATCAGAGTAAAACTCCTCTAATCCAGACTCTCCTGATCCGGGCACCTTTCTAAGTTGTCGTTACGGGCAGTGCACGGTCCCAACGTGCCCAGATAATTCTTCTATCGTATTGGCGGACATCCAGTCCGACACGATTTCATAGCATCAAGAGCAAACAGGAAGAAAATATTCAAACTCCATGCATGGCGTGGCAAACCGCCATAAGCTCATCAATACCCAGGGGTTGCTTGGTGATCGGCCCGGTGAACAAATCGTTCAAAAAGAAAGTAGAAAATCAACACCATGTGCATGACTCAGCAGACAACGAGAGAGCTTGGAAGCTCAGGGCCCTACGCTATGCTTTTTTGCCTTGATGACCTAGACAAAACAAAGCATAGGGATGTTTTGAATTCTTTAAAAAAATCCTTTTTTTAAGACATAACTTGGGATTCGAACCCGCACTATCGCGCCCTGCATGCATCTCCCGGTCTTTAAAAAATTCTTTTTTTTTAAGACATAACCTGGGATTCGAACCTGCACTATCGCGCCCTACATGCATTCCCCCATACACTTCGCATTCATACCCATTCTTCCAAGTTGCTTCACGTTATGATCTTGCATTTGAAAGCCCTATTTGAATATGCATTGTGGCCAGCCGTCTTTGATGGTACGGTACGGTATGGATAGGTACGGGACAGGTACGATCGAGGGTAATACGACACCGTCTCCCGTACCGTACCATCAAACACAGCTGGCCACATACAGCTGCCCGCAATATTCAAATAGGGCTTTCAAACGCAAGATCATAACGTGAAGCAACTTGGAAGAATGGGTATGAATGCGAAGTGTATGGGGGAATGCATGTAGGGCGATAGTGCGGGTTCGAATCCCAGGGTATGCCTGAAAAAATAGGAGAATTGAAAAATTTATAACATCCCTATGATTTTTTGCCGTCAGATACGGGATAGCGCCAGGCGTGACACAAACAAACAAACACACAAACAAATACCAAATTAAAGCTGTGTGGACCCTGGCTAGCGCCAGACGTTACTGAAGTAACGTCTTCTGCATAGCTACGGGAACGAGAGAGCTTGGAAGCTCAGGGCCCTACGCTATGCTTTTTTGCCGAGCTCATCGTATCTTTACTTATAAAGAAGAGGCACCTGTGACGTGTGTCTGTGTGTGTGTGTGTGTGTGTCACGCTCAGGCTGCAGGCCATACTGCGGAGCAGCGCTGCCCTGAGCACGCGAAGCGCGCGTGCGAACAATGTAGCTAGCGCTAGCGCGGCCGCAGAAGCACTGAGCACGCGAAGCGTGCGAATCGTGTAGCTAGCGGAAGCAGCCACAGAAGCACTGAGCACGCGAAGCGTGCGAATCGTGTAGCCACCACCACGTGCTGAGCACGTGTGCTGTTCATGCCACGTTCTATTATAGTCTAGCCAAAGCTAAAGAAGAGGCACCTAGTACCTGTGTCTGTGACGTGTGTGTGTGTGTGTAGGTAGCAGACACGATCAGTACGAGTAGCAGTAGCAGCCGCGCGCAGAAGCACTGAGCACGCGAAGCGTGCGAATCATGTAGCCACCTAGCCTAGGGCATAGGCATAGGTACTACTACTTACTAGGTAATACTAGGTAGCACCAAGAGTACAAAACTGTTTATGTACTCTTGGTAGCACTAGCAGCCGCACAAGCGCTGCGGACCACGTGAACCGTTCTCTGCAAATAGAAACATCCGCAACAAAAGGATACAAAAGATCTGCACTGACTGCACTCTGCATCATGATCTGCAGTGAAGATCAAGAGCGCATCGCACTTTTGTTCGTAATTTTATGAATTTTTTGAGCCGCTTCATCCGCCACCAGGTGATGGACAACCCTGACCAGCCTCCCGAAGGCGTGACAGACGTCCCTCCTTCTCCTTCCAACGATGAAGAACCTCCCTCACCAGGACTTCAGCGGTCTGGCCACCACCACGTGCTGAGCACGTGTGCTGTTCATGTACTTGCTTCACCCGCATGCCACGTTCGGCCAGGCAACGCTGGCCGGGGGTGCTGCTAGTCTTTACTTATATTAGTAAGTTATAAAAGAGAGGCACCTGTGACGTGTGTCTGTGTGTGTGTGTGTGTGTCACGCTCCTTATAAAGAAGAGGCACCTGTGACGTGTGTTTTTGTGTCACGCTGAAGCGCTGCGGAGCAGCGCTGCCCTGAGCACGCGAAGCGTGCGAACAGTGTAGCACAGTGTAGCTAGCGGCCGCAGAAGCACTAGTACTGAGCACGCGAAGCGTGCGAATCGTGTAGCTAGCGGAAGCAGCCACAGCACTGAGCACGCGAAGCGTTCGAATCGTGTAGCCACCACCACGTGCTGAGCACGCGAAGCGTGCGAACAGTGTAGGTACGTAGACCCGGGTGCTCGAATCAGAAACGATTTGACAGGTGTGCAATTTCTCATCTGTAAATCTCAACAATGTCAGAATATACTTTTGGAGAGGCGATGGAACAGGGAAGAGAGTCTGGCTTGACCCACCCAGCAGGAATTCAGAACATGGGTGCGCTACAACACAAGCTACAGACGCAGTAAAATTGTCGTATTTCCTTCGGATTTTTTATTTCTACGGTGGTAGCGCTTATACTTATACTATAGCAGACACGATCAGTACGAGTAGCAGTAGCAGCCGCGCGCAGAAGCACTGGACACGCGAAGCGTGCGAATCATGTAGCCACCTAGCCTAGGCCATAGGTAGCACTAGCAGCCGCACAAGCGCTGCGGACCACGTGAACCGTTCTCTGCAAATAGAAACATCTCCAACAAAAGGATACAAAAGATCTGCACTGACTGCACTCTGCATCTGATCTGCAGTGAAGAGCGCATCGCACTTTTGTTCGTAAGTTTTTGAACTTTTTGAGCCGCTTCATCCGCCACCAGGTGATGGACAACCCTGACCAGCCTCCCGAAGGCGTAACAGACGTCCCTCCTTCTCCTTCCAACGATGAAGAACCTCCCTCACCAGGACTTCAGCGGTCTAGGTCTGGCCACCACCACGTGCTGAGCACGTGTGCTGTTCATGTACTTGCTTCACCCGCGCATGCCACATTCGGCCAGGCAACGCTGGCGGGGGTGCTGCTAGTATGTAATTGTTATAAGAACTAATGGAAATGTTTTTTTTCCGTTGATTGGCCACATCATTGTATTGCAAAAACGTTTCAATCAGTTTGAATATTATGAGTTAGGCAAAAGTATTTGCAGAATTTATTGCAGATTGTCATTTCTTTAGTATCATCTACTTTTGGTTTGCTCCTTCTTCTCTTTTTATCTCCTTATACTGTAAATCAACAAATTTTGGCCGATGAGAAACTTTGGCCGATGAGAAACGAAACTTTTCGCCGTCATTAAACTTTGGCCGATTGGACTTTTCAAAAAGAAATCGATCGGTACTTTTGCTCTCACATGCATCCATTGCTCAATCATGCATCATTTGCCTCTGTGACAAACTTTGGCCTGCGATTTACTTTGGCCGGTTGGTACCAAGCGGCGAAATCAGCGAAATTAAATCGCTAGCGAAAATTAGTTGATTTTAATACAGTAATCGGATTTTCTGGCCTTTTTGTAGTAATACATGTACATTGACCTGTTGAGCCAATGACGACGCCGAATGCATGGTTGCCTGTGGAGAACATTACATAACTTTACAGTCTCCTAAAAAACGTATCCTGTCCGACGGCAAAAGAGGCTGCAGATTTAATTTTTCTGCGCGTCGACGGGATGTCTGTCCTAACGTTTCCTGGGACCGACGCTGACTCTGCCGATCACGGGCGTTCTGGACTCGACGGGTTGTCTGTCCTGACGATTCCGGGGACCGGCTTAGACTCTGCCGATCACGGGCGTTCTGGACTCGACGGGATGTCTGTCCTGACGTTGCCTGGGACCGGTGCGGACTCTGCCGATCACGGGCGTTCTGGAGTCGACGGGATCTCTCTTCCGACGTTTCCTGTGACCGGCGCTGAATCGCTCGTTCATGCTTATTTTGGAGACGACGGGATCTCTCTTCCAAAGTATGTTTATGCTGACGCATCCTATCACCTATTCGGCGTCTATTCTAATTTAATTTCCTCCTCGTCTCCCTATTTCTTTCCAAATCTCCCTCTACATCAGGGAGTCGTATACATAATACGACGAATATTGGTACGGTACGGGACAGATACAGGAGCCCGCAAATATTGTGGACAGCTGTTATGTACAATCCTGTAGAGCCTTTGTAGTCACAGATACGGGACAGATACGGGACAGATACGGGATAGCTCCAGGCGTGACACAAACAAACAAACACACAAACAAACACCAAATTAAAGCTGTGTGGACCCTGGCTAGCGCCAGACGTTACTGAAGTAACGTCTTCTGCATAGCTACGGGAATAAAATGATTTATATGTCAAGCAGATCAGCTCGAGACTTAGTAATCTGTGATTGATTGGAAAACTGTAGAGAATGATAGAGGGGCCTGATTCAGGGGGAACACGGAAACAGCCGGGTGGCAAACAAGGCGGTGGTGCCATTGTTGAGCTGAACGAAATACTGCTCGTATAGCCAGCATTGCTTAGGGCGTGAGGCGAGATGGGTCGCGTGGAAACAGTGACGTTTTGCGGATATTCTTCAGGCCGAGGTAGAGCATAAGCACTCTCTCCAGACCTGAACATACAACATAAACAAGAGCAAGGAGCATACACAACAGAAAACGGCATTAGTGCACAGGGCCGTCGGACACGCTAAGGTCACCACGGTATTGACCATACCACTCTTTTCCCCAGGTACCCCGTAAATCAATGAAGTGCACTGATCTAGATTTTAATATTCCAAAATGTTCAGCTGAGCTACCCCTCCCCACGGGTAAATTGTACTTCAGATGGCTGACCCGTACCACCCTAAATCTCTTCTGACACTACTGGGTACTGGGTACTGGGTACAGCTGCTATGGGCAAAGTTGAGTAAAAAGCAACCAGCTGATCAGCTAGTTGATAGCACGAGTAAGCATTGGGCAAATCCGTTGAGGTAAACAGGCTGATCAGCAGTGAAACATCCGCTGTGTACTTGGAAGAAAGAAAATGCATGCATGCACGCACACATTTGCACGCGCGCGCGTGCAAACAAGAGATACGAGCGGACAGACACAATAAACACAATCACATACAACACGTACCAATTCCACCGCCGGCATGAGGTGGAGCACCGTAGCGGAACGCGTCGATGTACGCCTTGACCTTCTCGATATCTGCAGACACACGTGCGCACGAGATCCAAGCAATGGAGTTTTGCTCCGGATCATGTATGCATGCATGTATGCGTGCATGCATGCGTGTATGTATGTATGTATGTATGTATGTACAGTCAAACCTCGTTAGGACGAACACTGATAAGGCGACTTTCCATTAGTACGAACTAAGGCCAATCCTATGGTTGGCCAGGCATCAATTCAAGTCAAAATTATTCGTTTACGACGAACTTCTGTACAGCGAACTTTCGCGAAGACGAACTATTTTCAAGTGTGATTTGAACAAAGTCAGTGTGGTCATGTACATGTAGTACGAACTTTCGGTCCACGAGCGTGCGCTTGCGCTGGCTGCTTTTTTTCTTCTTCTTTTTTTCTATAGTCGAGGTCATTTTGTACGTACAGTGCAAATTGCTTTCAAGCGTGTTTTGAACAAATCAATCAGTGCGTTGTACGAACTTTCGACACAGTCGTGATTCATTGCACTTTGTCATTGTACTTACCTGTTTCTGGCTTATGCTAAGAATGACATGCTTCCCATGTACACGTTTACCACAGCATGCACCTTCACGTAAATACAATCCATCTGATATGCATATCGATTTTTTGTCAGATCTGGATAAGAAGAACTCCCGATAAGACAAACAAATTTGTTCAGTCCCTTGAAGTTCGTCCTAACGAGGTTTGACTGTATGTATGTATGTATGTATGTATGTATGTGCAGTGCAGGTTTGCTTCCAACAACACGGTGCAATGATTATGTGATGAAGGCAGCACTGTGCTTGCCCAAACACGGGCAAAACATGGACGATACCAAGAGTACATGAAAACCAGAGTGTGCAGCTCGGATAGGTTGCTGTCACGGCGGAATTCCGTGATAACATCATTTTAGTGATGTAGTGCGTACAAGCAGGATTCAAGCAGGTCTCTTTCTGCACAACTGCAGCTCAGTTGTACGCACTACGCCATTTCCCGCCTCAGATCTGCACCAAATATGATGTAATCACGGAATTCCGCCGTGACAGACACCCATAGCAGAAAAGGCCCCAAGCTGCACACTCTGGTTTTCATGTACTCTTGACGATACCGCACAGCTCACGAGTGTATCAGGTCCAGACGATATAATAGGGAGGTTTAGTCCCACGTAATCCGTGGGTACTTTACGTGTGTGTACCACGTGATACTCAGTGACCCACGTACAGACGTTTTCTGATTCACGACATACCGTGTATGGAGGCTCACCCACGTTCCGCCAGAACGTGGGTGAAAATCAGAATGGAGCGCATTTTGCGAGCTGTGAGGGTGCTCAGCTGAAGAAATTTCCGAAGCACGAAATCAAAATATTCGATGAGCTTCTTAGGCCCGGGTAGCTTCGTCTTTGACCAGGTTTGGGCCTTTCGCTTCATGCTTTTGTTTGTTCCGTGTGACTAAACACAACATTGCAACGTGGATGCCCTTCATCCACTTTACGTGGATCACCCACGTACGCGTTTCCGTTACGTGGGAACTAAACCTCCTTAATACTACAGTTGCGCTCACTGAAATCCGACCCAAAGTGCAAAGCTGGCGCCCTGGACCAGTTCCGATTACATCATTGTATGTGTACATGTGTACGTCCAGCCGCATTCATTCCACTCCCGGGGCGTCAAGGGCCGTGGAAGTTGAGGGCGCCAGCTTTCCACGTTGGGTCGGATTTCAGTGAGCGCAACTGTAGTACAGTCAACCTTGCGAATAACAACCCTCGGGCGTGCATGAGAAAGGTTTTGTTATTTTGTGAGTTATCGTTAGTCATCAGGTTGAAAGTATGCAATCAAGTGGTTGCAAGGTCAGAAGATTAAGTCGTTAGTCGCGAGTTGTTGTTATACCCGAGGTACAGTCAGACCTCACTTATCCAGTCCTCTTTTATCCGGATCCCTCACCATTCGGAAGAAAATCGTCGGCTACCGATTTACAGCATATGTCATGCATACATAATTACATACAGTATGTGTGTTCAATTATCTGGTTGCCTCGCCTATCCGGATATTTTTGTGGAAAACGGATGTGTGCGACTGTGCGGTTATGCGGTTATGCGAGGTCTGACTGTAGATATTCGCGAATTGTTGTTACGCCCGAGGTCGTTATTCACGGGGTTGACTGTAGCAGACGTTATGTATGAGAGGAGCATACTCACCCACACCATGGTGCTGTGCTCGCTCGACCAGGAATGCCGCGTCGTGGATACGCTGAGCTCCCGACAGAATTTCCTCGCCACGCATGAACATATCATAGGAATTGCTGGATTTCTACGTCACAGGGAGACAGACAAATACACAGCGGCAGCAGCAGCAGCAGCAAGTCCGAGGGTAGTAACGGCAGCAGCGGAGACAATCAGATATTGAAGAGATGCAGTGACTCGGCTGGGTCACACACAAAACGAGTTATTGGGTACTGTTGGGTTAGAATCTCGTTAAGATTTTGTAGACAGGATCCATTCTTACGAGTCGGAACTTGTTTGATTCATAACGGGCTCCGAGAAAATTGGAAATAGGATACACACGTAGTACCCTTTCAACGTACTACGCATTCAAATGCCACGAAAAAAGAGGCTGATCTGAAGTCCTGTTAGATTCTGTGGTAGGTAACTGATAAACAAGCCAATTTGGGAGGTTTGATGCCTGAGATGTTCTATGTGTGTATGCCTACCTCAGTGCGCGAGCAATTGGGGGGGGGGGCTTACACATTCAAATGCTGCAAAACAAGAATATAACGATCGACATGATCCTGAATGGAGTGATGTACACCGCACAACACAGGCACACAAGCACATGGGCACACACAGGCATAACACACACTTAACACACTAACACACACACACACACACACACACACACCATTGGACGCCCATCGCCGGAGGCGATGATAGCGATGCTACAGCAGAAGCCATAGCAGTTTGTGCTGGGATTGCACCATTCAACAGCCTGCAAGGCTGAAGAATTGACCGCCACCATTCAGCCTGGTCTATACCACACAGCTATGAAGTGGCTTTTTCTGGCCAGTGAATCCCTACTTTTTGGTCGTTTTTATTTATTTTTTTCCCGCACACACATCACACCACATACTCCGGCATGCACTGGCTGTAGGTAACCACCCAGGAGAATGAAAGAAAAGTCAGGAAGAGTCTGAGAAGGAGAAGAAAGACGTGTGTGACCATAATTGTCGGGAATCGAACCCGCACACACACACACGCACACACACACACACACACACACACACACACACACACACACACACACACACACACACACACACACACACACACACACACACACACACACACACACACACACACACATGATGTGCATTGACTGTGCATGGGTGGAAGGAAGTCGATGCATGTCTTACCGGGTTGTTGGGGTCGGGCATGGTGTAGAACGGACGCACTGCCAACGGGAACTTGTCCAAGATGAAAAAATCTGTGCCATACTTCTCCTTCACCAGCCGACCAAGCAGCTTTTCATTGGGAGTGCTGTCATGGATGACATAACACATAACAAATTAACGAGGTAATCAGAGCATCTTCGCTAGGAACAAGAATCTCACATAAAACCCACAATATGCCTTCGAAGAAAAGTGCTAATCAAAAATCAAAGGATGCTGCACAATTGAGATTTTGTAAAGAAAAATTTGCTATGCAAAAAATGACAGTAAATTCATCCCTTTGCTTAACGAACGGGATGTGCTGGTGGACATGCTGGGTTGTGAATAGAACCTATCCGGGGCTGTTTATCTTTATACATCACACGTTGCACTTGATTTCAAGGAAGTGAGAACCGTGCTGCCAGAGCATAGCTCTAGGAGGCAGTGAGTTGCAACAGGATAACTGTGCGTAACCTGCTATTGAGATTCAAAGCACTGGAGAGGGAGAGCTACAGAGAGAGAGAGAGAGAGAGAGAGAGAGAGAGAGAGAGAGAGAGAGAGAGAGAGAGAGAGAGAGAGAGAGAGAGAGAGAGAGAGAGAGAGAGAGAGACGCAGACTCACAAGACCGAGAATACAGCACTGTCGGGCACCGAAGAACGGCCAGGCGAGAATTTCACCAAGCACAGCATACCAATGTATACACGGTGACTCAACTGTGCATAGACTGTAATAAATGAGAATAAGAACAGTCTAGGCTAGGAGGCTGACCCTCCAGTTCTTCGGCGACCGTACTGTATTGGGGTTCAAAGCACTGGAGTGGGAGAGCTACAGAGAGAAAGAGAGAGAGAGAGAGAGAGAGAGAGAGAGAGAGAGAGAGAAAGAGAGAGAGAGAGAGAGAGAAAGAGAGAGAGAGAGAGGGAGAGAGAGAGGGAGAGAGGAGAGGAGAGAGAGGAGAGGAGAGAGAGAGAGAGACGCAGACTGAGAAGACAGTGAATACTGAATAGTGCAGGATCTGGACCACTAACCTGAGATCGTCCTCGTCGCCAATGTCAATACCATTCTCGCGCAGCAAGGCCATCGCTTCTGGCCATTCGAGACGTAAGCTGCAGAGACAGGCATACAACAAGTACCGTAAAGTCCGGAGCAAACGCCCACCCCATTTTTGCAAGATCTGCTGGCCTGTACACACTGACCCCATGCACTGTCACCCCTACTGTACGAAAGTGCATCTCACACCGTAGCGGGAAGAGCACTTTGCTACGGTAAACTATGTCCACTTTCCTGGTTTCAAAATCTCTTTGGGCACTAGCGCTATAGCCACGAGCTAGCTAGCTCGTAGTGATTTTATAATGATGGTTGTTTTATTTCGCAAATCCGAACGGGTTTTCTTCCGAATAACAAGGTACCGAAGAACAGAGTATTGAAGGAACCAAATACACTTCTGACGGTGTTTCAAGCCATCATTTCGAGATCACACAGCGCCCAAAGGCAAATGTTTTTCTTGGGCACTTCGGAGTTTTCAACAAGTTAGCAGCGACGTTGTAGGTGTAGCTTCTGTTACATACCCTGTTCGACTTGCAACTGCAATATTGGGACCAGTCAAGCCGTTGACTGACGCTTCATCAGAACAATTATTGTTCCTGACAGCGCGACATCGTGGCACTGCACACATTTATGCGGCATTACTCGTACCACATGGAGAACGAACTACCACATTTACTGAATAAAAGGAAATCTCGACAGAAGTTATTTCTTTGCAGGAAGATAATGACAATCGCTTTTGCACAGCCTCCTGGTAGGACATAGGCAGTTTGTAGGCATTACAGTCGTTCTCGTACGCATTCGACCTTCATGCCAGTTGTTTACAACTATATTGACCTGAAAAAGACGAAAATAGTATGGACCCGCTGGGGTGGGCGTTTGCTGCGAAGTGGGCGTTTGCTCCGGACTTTACGGTATTAAACATATGCTGCGAAATCAAGTGGTGTGGATAGAAAGCAGCAATACGAAACAAAAGCCTACAGACAGTATCGCAGTTAGGTGTTCGGTTGACCAGCAAACGAAAGACTGAGATGCAGTGCAGAATCAAACTACACAAGGTGCACGGCAGGCCTCGGTGCAAACGAATTAACAATGCAGACACACAAACCTACGTACACACACGCAAGCACACACGCAAACACGCACGCAAACTCAAGACACATGCAAGCACGCACGCAAACACACACACATGCAAGCACGCACACCCGCACATACACATAAAAACAGCATGAGCTATACACCAACCTTGGCTCTAGAAACTGAAATGGTTCGCACGGAAACTGCTTGTTTATCGTACTGATTTCACTGGAGAAGCTGAAAGCAGGCATGTCCAGGGCAGCACACCACCAAAGTTAGACAGGAATTGGGGATATTTAGTAGCAACGATAAAGATCAAACACAAGGTGAATCAATGCTATCTTCAGGGATCTCCTGACAGACATAATCATTGGAATGGGTGCAGAAATGATTAGGCTGATTGAGCAAGGCGTGAGCTTTTTGCATTACAGTCGGATTTTGCTTCATTCCCATGTCTCAAGATCAACAAGAATAAGATTGACGAGGGAAGGGATTATCAGTAAACACAGGTGTTGCACAGTGAAACGATGTGAATCTATGTTTTGATGCTTTTTGGACCTGTTCGGCAGAGGAAGCGCATAACGAGGATGGAATAAGCCAGGCCTGACACTCCAGAATACTAGGCATTATCAATTTATCATAGACCTTTGACCACAGTCAATAAGTCTTGCGGTGCAAGACAAAACCTTGAAGAGAACGGGTAGCACCCTCCCCCCCCCCCCCCCCCCCCATCCCCCAGTGTACACAGGATTGCCAAATCACTCTTTATAGCTTCTGCAGTGAGGTTAACGGCATTTGTAGCAAAATTCTCTATTGCCGCTTACTAGTAGTACTGTGGTGGCAGTATAGCTTTGGTAAAGTGCTTTGTGGCACGTGAGCACTAGACAAATACAAAGGCATGGTAAGCATACAGGCACCGATGACCTCACCTGTCACGGAGACCCTTGAACAGGCTGACGAACAGCTCCCCGATGACATCAACCGCCTGTGGAGGAGCAAACGCAGAATAGAGGCACCGGTCGGCTGGAAAGCATTCACTGAATGTCACAAAGCACATTACTCAGCACGGAATTTTTCACTTACATGTACTATTTGTACTCATTTCATTTGTATATGGGCATTTCATCATCCACCGGTGACGCATATAAGGTGGTTGAAACTTGTAATATAATTGTAGTCAACACACACGGCTGACAGGGCACATCTGACTTATGTACAATTCTCATCATGAAATTCAAATTAAATTTGCGCTCAACGCAGGGCACGCAAACAGTGGATTAGAACAATTAGCAATTCAAACCCACCTCGTGATAATGCTCCTGGAACGCCATCTCCAGATCGAGGCCGACAAACTCGGTCAAGTGGCGATGCGTGTTGGAGTCCTCGGCACGGAAGACTGCAAACAATCAGAGATCATGGCAAGGTGCAAAACAGATGGTCAAGGCCAAACTTGATACAGCCCCTCTCTGCGGTTAGGTAAATCACTAGCTACAGCAACGTGCATCATCAGTATGAAAACATGCTTGTAGTGCACATCTACTGTACGACCACTTAATTCAATGCCGATCTCCGGATTTTCGTCAATAGAAGTGGTCTCACAGTAAATTGACAGGTGCACTGCGATTGCGACCAGTGAAGTTTGCCATCATCAAGAAGTTAGCGCCAGGCACTAACTGACTCACAAGCTTGGATTTCATGGAAAAGAGCTATTTAGCGAGTGGAGAGGGTTTTAAAACAATGGCGCCCCAAAGCACGGAAGGGAGGATCCTAAAAGCCGTTGTATGATTAAGAGTGGGATTTCAGAGGATCACCTGCTGTACTGGAAGGCCCGCACTGAATTCACCCCTTTTAGCGAGCAATACATTCTCTGATGCGGTACGGAAGAAGCACACAGGTAGAGAGCAAACACAGCATGACAGTTAGCAAGTAGAGGGCCAAACTTACCGGGACCAACGCAGAACACACGCTCAAAGTCGGCGCACACAGCCATCTGCTTGTACAGCTGAGGAGACTGCGCCAAGTAAGCTTTACCTGAAGCAACAGTAACAGCAGCAGCAGCATGTTGATCAATCAGTGCAGAAAACATACAATGTATGCAAAAGAGATAGGACATGATTGTGACAAGGATTCGATGAATTGGAGCAAGCAGACATGAGAAAAACTGAGCCGGTAAGATAATCCTCAGTGAAAGAATAAACATGACTGCGGTGTACGCGAGTCAACGCACAGTGACAGGATAATTTCACACCGCAACGTTTAATGCAAGGGGGGGGGGGGTCGCCCCCCCCCCCCCCCCCCCATCTGCCCGTTCAGATCAAACTCAACTCACGGTCAAAGTAGCCGACTTTGAACACATTGGCGCCTCCTTCACTGGCAGCTGAAGCCGGAACAAAGAGAAGCGTAAAAAAACAGATTGTTGCCACAGATACATGTGCGATTGCAGAGCACACACTTCGCGATAGGGCAGTAGGAGTACAGCGAGAGCGCGCGCACACCCGCCCACACACACACGCACGCACGCACACATACACCTCCCCCCCCCCCCACACACACACATACACACACACATACACACACACACATGCGCGCACACATACACACACACACACACATGCGCGCACACATACACACCCACACTCACACACCCACACACATCCACCTCACGGCAGGGCCACAACTCCTGGCAGGAGTGTGTTACGAACATGAGTGACTGGGAGAAATTAGAGAGAACAACAGGACCGTGCCAGCACAACTCAGGCACATACATTGCTACTGGCAGCGGCAGCAGCAATGGCGGCGGAGGAAGTAGCAACAGCAGCAAAGCGTTCCGGCTCACATTGGCAGCGAAGAATTACAGGCAGCTGAAGCAGTTCTTTCTCTAATGGACGGGTTTGAAACTAGCAAATGCCCGCACATCTGCCTGGATACAACTTAACTCAAATCGTCTTTAACATTGCTATCTAGCATCTGGAGAAAGAACGTCAGTTTCAGTTGCAAACACATCTGTTGACAACACACAATTGTGTTTGTAAATGGCACCTCAGAAGAGCGGTATGTCTGAAAGATGGCTCCATGTCAGGTGAAGGTACTGCAAACGAAACAACACAGGGTGCAGCTGGTCAAAGAAAACAACAAACAAACAAACATGACTCACCGCTGATGATATGCGGCGGCTGGATCTCCACAAACTTCTGCGACGTCAAATAGTCGCGGAAGAGATGCACCACACCAGCCTGCATGCGGAAGACTGCCTGGTTAGTGGTGGTGCGCAGGTCGATGATTCGGTTGTCCAGGCGAGTGTCCTGGTTGACCTTGGGCCCTGCGCCGCTGGACTCGTCGTCATCCTCCGCCTCGGCGCGCGCCGCGTCGTCGATCTGCAGCGGCAGGCGTGCCTCCGCCTTGCTGACCGTGAAGAACCGGTGCACGTGCAGCTCGGTGCTCTGCTGCGTGCAGCTGGTGATGGGCTTGGCCACGGTGCGCACGGTGCCTTCCACGTCCACAATGGACTCCTTTGGCACACTGTAGAAACGAGCACAAAGGAAACACCAGCAACACTGCATGTGAGCAATGCGCAAAAGAAAATCCTGCCGGCAGAGTACAGTCTTCCCAAGGGAAATTCCCTTATTTCTTTGAAACATCACAATACATTCAGCAGAAAGAGTAGTAATGAACGGACTTCAAAATACAGTACAAAGTATTCACAGATCAAATGAGATATTAGTAAGCTGATCCAGCCCACACAACAAAATACTATAACATGAACGGGAACACGCATACCTATCCATTGTACAACACCAACATCAGTTATCAGCAGCATTAGGGCTATACCGTACGACACCAACATCAGTTATCAGCAGCATTAGGGCTATACCGTACAACACCAACATCAGTTATTAGCAGCATTAGGGCTATACCGTACGACTCTGTCATGAAATGATCCCTGAACTTCACATACATAGCACAACGCTCGGGCGCACTTACCCAGCAATGTACTTGAGCATTTGTTTGCTTATCGTTTCGCCCTTCGTCACAATACACTGCACGGTACAGCACTGCTGTCGCAGTACGACAAAGCAGTTCTTGCCTGGACAAGAATATCAATGGGCACAGCATACACTTTACCACCAACACTGGGTCATGATCAATGCAATATCGCCGGCAAATCACATTCTCTGGGAATAAGTGGTCGTGTGAGAATATAATGTATACGAATCTGATGGTCATGTTCCACTCTTGTGGACATAGAAATCCGGTGGAATGACCCGGGCTGGCGCCCTTACTTACTCAGCGCGTACACGCATTGTAACACTGTAAAAACGGAAGTGCTCGCAGCTGCAACGCCAGTGCCCCGTGGCTGCTTGACTTCTCAACGGATCTCAATGTCCGCAACAGTAGCCTATCTTTCATGCAGTTCATGTCTATGTTATTCGACTTGACAGTAACTTGGACAAGCCTCTGGACAACTGCGTCACGTCCGGCTACACTCGTACCTGTCAGTCGACTCGTGTGCAAGCGTGCACGCACCAGCACGGGCTTGTCTGCCAGACTCTCGACCAGGTCTTCGACGCGCACAAATGTGCGACCTGAGCAGGAAGAAAATCGAGTGTTGAAAGAATTGGAATTGCAAACAACAGTAGCAGCAGAATAATGCCGGAATCCTTGATTCTTACGCTATCTCCTTACCGCTGGTTAAAGGGTGGTCTCTTATTACTATTGCTAAGAGTAAACAATGCATAGCAGTGCGTAACTCTGCATGGGTTTGCTATGGGACCCCGCCAAAGGCAAGAACCCACATCAATGTGGTGCAGTGTTCACGTTGTACATTCCCAGCCTGTGTTTTTTAGAGAGAGCAGGGAGGCAATAAAATAGCGCTCCCTCACACACGCCCAATCGGTTTATGTGAGTCATGAACATGATCAGGACAGACGTGACAGTACGTAAGTTAACGTAACACAGCAGCTGCAACATGTTATTACAGGGCACCTGCAGCATAGCGCCAGCATACCTGGCCTGCATGAGGAGTTGATCACGGGCAAGTCACCATAGCAGTCTTTGGAAACGTCCTGCACAGGATAACAACAGACAGTGGGGCAAACCGCATGATTGAAGCCTGACGAAGTCGTTTAATAGTAGGCTTATACTTGTTGGTATTGTAGCATAGAGTCGTGACGTACAGAGAGACAACACTGGCAACTCTAATACTAAACGATGTGGTTTTTGCTCCCGTCTGCCTGTCACAGTAGCCCCTGTAGGGACGATGCACACACAGTCGCAGATGACATCGCTTGCAGGAATCTCCAGCGCATCAGCTATCAACTCTATCCAACCTGTTGACGATGGCCAACAGGAAAGTTTTAAGCGCGAGGCTCTGATTGGACTGGGCGGCACTCGAGTCAGTTTGGGCCAGCAGGTGCAGGCCGTGATCGCGATCGCGAGTTGCAAAGACCAAGGAACACGTAGACCTTCCAAACCAGGGGTCGAAACGCACATAGTTTCTGACACTACGATCCCGTGCTATCTCCCTGGAGGCTATAACTCCCTGGTCTACGGCATTCTGTTACACATGAGTTTCCCAGCGGCCAGACATGCTCATAAATTTAGTACACAGCAAGCTCAGGCTGGTAAGACAGTCACAGGCTCTAAGATTCACACCCAGAAGACACTAGCCATAAACGTCATACATTCCCTGCACTGAAATTTCCTGTGTGCAAGTGCACGTAAGTACGGTCTGTCGATACAGATTAACTTCGCCGTCCCCATGGGTGTTCTTCTAGCCTTTCAGGCCACGCTTGGTAGCATCAACACTGTACTAATACTTCCTGCACAGGTGTGTGCTATTTACCTCCTCGGGTTGTGCGTCTGCGGCAGCACCAGCACCTTCTGCTTTGCCCTTTGCTTCAGCCTAGCAAAGGACAACAGATGAAAGAACACACATACACGCACACATACGTGTTCGCACATGTACACCCACACATACATATATACACGCACACATGCACAGTACACACATGTATTGATTCGAGTGCACCCTGACATGCTCGCAGCCTGCCAAATGCCACAGGGTTAGGCGCCTCTGAAGCAAGCAATTAGGATTTTGACAGCCTGCAATACTTATTGAAGCACAGCGCTGAGCCTATACCTTGGCTTTGGCCTTCTCTGCTTTCTTCTCGGCCTTCTTTTTCGCCTTCTTCGACTCAGAGCTGAACAGAAGATCAAAATAGAAATTGCAAAATATCACTAGCATTAGTAGATTCACTACCCATCAACTAGGTGCCAGGTGCAAACTGACAGTGATGATAAGAGATGCTGGTTTGCAAGATGCAGCTATCAATGAGCACAGGGAAGACAACAATAGCTACTCACGCCACGTCTACCGTTTGATTCGCCTCCGCCATGTTGCTCACCAGCACCTGGACAGCAGCACCGAGGTCAGGGAGAGAAGAGACTGGATAAGTCACAGACTGACATTGAAAACTCAGAGCAACAACCTACAGGTACAATGGGGGAGGAAGACGGAGGTGTTCATTATTTTCGAGGGGTATAATTGGGTTGAAGTTGTTCAAGTAACGTGTCGTGTTTGGTGCGGCCAAGCTTGGCCGTTAATGTTCTAGGTGAAATGTACTGATGTTATGTGTTATCACTTTGTCCTTCCTTCTTTCTTTCTCTTGTTTGTTCATTTTTCATTTGCAAGTTTATTATTAGCACACGCATTCGTGATTGCTCTCGCTTTCATTGTTAAAATTCACACTTGTACATTTCACTGCTGTTGTTCTTAGCGTAACCTTCTCGTCTCTGCGATGTGCTCTCTCCTCAGCCACACCGTATACATCCGTCCGAAGGATGTAGAGACGAGAAGGTTACGAGTAGTTAGCTATGTGAGGTTTTTGTCTCATGTCAGGTACATGAAAATGGGGTACTAATAGTACCCCATTTTTGCGTTGAAAATTATTTTTGGCCCGGTTTTTTTGCGGATGAAAAAAATGTTGGTTTGGGTCTTAGGACCCCATTTTTTTTTTTTTTTTTTTTTTTTTTTAGTGAAAATTATTTTTGGCCCCTTTTTTTTGCGTATAAAAATAATGTTGCGACTGTTATTTTGTACTCCTTTTTTTTCATGTCATTACAAAGAATAATGGAACGAACAGTGAATATCGCAATGGAGTGGAGGAGAAAGGTAGTACAATTCAGTTCTTGTTGTCCTGATTTCATCAAGCTGGTATTGGATGAGAGACCACAAAGTTTACTCTTCGAATACGTGTGAGGATGGATTCACCCATGATCTCTTCCGTGACACGCAGTACGAGGTGGAGTTGTCGGACGCTCTGATGTGCACCAATGGTTCCACCCAGTCAGCAATGGAACTGTCAGTCGACGACCTCCTTTGCACCGCCATCGTGTCAACAGTCGACTCGGGTAATTTGGAGATGAATCCATCGTCGCCGATGTCGATCGTACCAACTCGCACACGAATCCGCGTTACTCTTGTTGCAACGGCACGGAGTTGAACGGCCTTGGTACTACGTCGTACACGCACACGATCAACTCGAGAGACTTCATTCTCGTTCACCTCCTTGACAAGTTGCATTACGTCGCTGGAATCCAAATAGGTTGCATCAGCGAAGAGGTCGATGATGTGTTGAGAGCACGGTTCGTCACGCATGTCACTAAGCTTGTAGAATGAGTGTCTACCATCAGTCCACCTTCGCAGTATGACACCATCATCAGTCTCACTAATAGTTCCGTAGTCCTCCACACCACCGATGACGATTTTAGGAAGGTGCTGTTTCCTATTCTTCACATTCAAGATCAGACTGGTGACCCTGCAGATAATATACTCAGCAGCAGTGAGTGGTGACATATCGAATCTTCTGGGATGTGCTATCATCGGGTCAAGATCCCTGGTTGTCTTGCTAGCACTGAGGCGACGGATTGAGAACTCTTCATTATCGCATGAAAATAAATACCATTTCTCTGCTCTGCACGTCTCAGAAAATGTCCACGCCATTTTAGCTTCTTCACACTGCAAGAAGGAGTCGATAATGAAACTGCAGGTTGAGACTACTTCGCCTCGAGGTCAAAGGTCACGCCGCGATGACCTTTGTAAACAAGGCTACGTCTAGACGTCTCAAACAAGACCAAGGGGTCACGCCACGGGGAGGTGGCGACCTTGGAGAACACGATGTGTTTCGAAAGCGGAAAGGCGCCCCCCTCCCCGGTCATGGTGAGTCTTTTTTGTTCGGGTTTGGAATCTTTCGACTATGATATCAGATTGAGATGTGAATGCCTTTCTTCTATTGAAAGGTCGATGAGACGGAGGATTTTTCTAGCTTTCTGCTCATATAATTCTTACTCTCATAGTACTTAATTTTCTCATATTTTCAGGGGTGGAAATACGTAAGGCACACGGACCATGGATGCGCACATCATGGAGTGTGCATTGACGTCACAGTGGATTGTAGGATGCATCATGTACCACACAAACACACACACACACACATGCACATAATATACATACACTGTGCAATGACATCACAGCGAACTACACGATCGGTGGATGCTATACATATACGGAATTCCGTGGTCTCTTCTCATACAGAGAGGGTAGAGAGGAATTCAAAAGGAATCTTGGAAAGAGGACTCAACTGTCAATAGAGCGATATTCCCCGCTCGGAGCACGAATATTCCCCGGGTCTTGCGGCAGAGTAAATAAGGGAGATGTTAGTGCTGATCACGCTCTATTTGGGATAGTACATGGGATAAATGGATGATAACATTCGTACTCTGTGCATACCGTACCCATTATATTTTCAATTGTGCTGATGCACTCGTGAAATTGTCCAGCAGTATACCCCTCATACTCATGCGATAATTCTCATGAACGCCATCAGCTTGTACATAGCACTCAATCATTTCATTTGTATTTTTCGATATGAGTATCATTGTGAATCATGATCTAAGACTGTTCACATCCTTCTTTGTGAGCCAGGTATTGAATTTATTATCTGTGTAGCCTTTCCATTGCACAAGACGTTGATCCTTGTTGTATTTTAACACCTTGTCGAATCTCAAACCGGTCTCTCTGGCGTGTTGCAGTTCTGCTTCGTAAAACGATCCGATGATGGGTTCTCCCATCAGATCACGAATCCTGTAGGTGTGTGGTGATGTTGATAGGATTTCATCCACCCCGAATACTTCCTCCGTCCAGTTCGCAGTGTAGCCCTTCTCGAAATGACGTTTAGATACGGTTAGGCGCACCTCGTCACCCACTTGGAACTTAGGTTTTGACTGCAGGGGGTCTTGTTGATTTGCATCTTTTGGTATTCTACCGTTCGATGCTTCGTTAGGTGTCATCCCAATGCTTCTATGCTTTGACTGGTTGTAGCGGTCTAGTAGATGAGGTAGGACGTTGAGGTACGTGTTCGTGGATTTCTCTGTAAAGTGACGCCACATTCTTGCCTTCAACGTTCTATTGAAGCGCTCGACCACCACCGCTTTACCCTCGTTATGGGTGCTGTACATGATGACGTTGTGTTGTGATAACCATCGTTTCATGGGGGCATTGTAGAATTCCTTGCCTTCGTCTACCCAGAGTTTTAGCGGTGTCCTTCCGGATGTACTGACAATCTTATCGAACGCATCTCTCACGGCGGTACCCGTCTTCGATTTCAAAGGCATTGCCCAGGCATAGCGGCTGTATAAGTCGATGACTGTTAGCAGGAATTTGATGTTCTTATTGCTTCGGGCAAACCGTTGCATATCCACGAGATCTGCACTCCATATATGGTCAATTGCTCTGCTCTTCACCTTGCGTCTTTTGAAATGCACTCGTCTGGGCTTGTGCAATTCGTTAGCCAGTTTCGTGTGGAACTGTGCGGGTTCTGTCTTCTTCTTCCGTCTTCCATCATGAATTGCCTTTTGCACTTTGTTGTCCCAAAAGGCTCCAGCACCTTCCAGGGCACCTGAACTGAGAACCAGTTTATCGTTTTCCAGCTTTTCGTCATCATCAAAGACTCTTCGGAAAATTCGAAGTGCTTCATCCAGACCATATTTGGAAAATAGCTTTCCCATCAATATGGCATACCATCCACATACTGCTGTGCTTCTGTCTTGAACGGCTTGGGTGTTGGTGATGATCTTACAGTCTGCGTAGGCTTCTTTAAAGAAATCGCACAGTGCAGGTTCAGTGTAATCTTGCTCCATAGTGTATAGACTGCGTCCGAAACTGTCGAAAACCAGGATCACGTTTTGCTCGCGACACACCGTCAACCAATGATGTCCGCCTTCCGTTGCATCGTACACCGGTAGAACGTTGTCGGTGTTGACGATACAAAAGTCTCCATTGTTCAAGGGTGGCAAGAGGTCGTAACTCGTGCAGCCCACGAACCCTCCGACACCATTCAATCTTCCTTTGATATCGGCACTGCTGAGAGGATAGTCCATTCTTGATCATAGCCTGAAAATATTTGGCACGTGATCACATGGAGCGTCCGCTCAGGATATCCTTGATGATACGAGTGATCCTGCTTTTGTCCTTCAGCACCTGTTGAATGAATGATGCATCGTCCACCATCACCTTTTGTGCTCTGATCATGAAATGCTCGGGATGGATCAATTTTGCTTCTGTTGTTCTACCATAGGTGGAAGTCATATCGTTGAGATCTTGAAACTTAAGCTGTGATCCCGGTATAGCTATCACAAGGGTGGTTAGTTCCTGAATCTTTCGTTCTGATCGAAGGAACCCATCGACGTGTTTGTTGATTCCCATGGCACCTGCTATGGCTGCAAACGGGTACCTGGACATGTAGATGCGATTCGTCTCGTTGACCAGAGTAGTGTAGTCGTTCATCGTCTGCGTCTTCAGGGCATCCGCAGCCGCTTCCACCCGACTCCTGAACCTCAGGCGATCTTCATCGTAGAGTTGCAGCAGTTGTGATCGGCTTGTGAAATAGTTGCTCTTCAAAAAGGTCACCGGTATATTTGTATGCCGGAGGAAACTGTCCAGGATTTGCAGGATCCATCGGTCAAATTCATGATCTTGTAGTAGATTGAAAGGCACCGATGTTAAAGGTGCCTTTCTCTTCTTCCTGACATCTGAAACGGAATCGCGAACTTGATCGGTAGTGGAATCATAGTTGAGTATGTTGGATGCAATCACATTTCTCACAGACGGGTAACTGATGTGATCGGGATTGTTTTTGAAGTGGGTGTCATATAGACGCTTTACTCGCGGATCGGCTTGCAGTTCCAACAGGGTGGAGGTGCTCAAACTGTGATCTGGTACTTGGGAAAGAACTTTCTTAACGCTTTTCAAGTATGCATTGTAGTTATTACCTCCTTTTTGCCGCATGAGTGGTGGTATACCGAGAACTTCCCACGAATTTGCTCTCTTCTTAATGATGTGTTGAGGATGTTTCGTCATAAACTGCAAGGTTTGCAACCTTTTACGCTTGGGTATCGAGAAGGATCCCTTTCTGGGTCCCACTCTTTGTATACTACTCGGTAGCCCATTTGAGAATTTCACCGTAAGATGCTCCATTCTTATTCATGATTGGAATTTTTTTCAATGTTGCGGCTAACTTTTCGGCTAACTTTTCGGCTAACTTTTCGGCTAACTTTTCGGCTAACTTTTTGGCTAACTTTTCGGCTAACTTTTCGGCTAACTTTTCGGCTAACTTTTCGGCTAACTTTTCGGCTAACTTTTCGGCTAATTTTTCGGTTAACTCTTCGACTAATATCGTACACACACACACACATCAACGAGGGGTTTATTCAAAAGTCACCTTTA